AAGAACAGTTAATGTTGGGTATTATTATCAGTGTAGTTATTACTTCTCTTTTCTGGACCCTCCAAACAATCAAGAAATTGACCCACTCCAGGGCCATGTTCCCTCTCATCATATGGCCAGGTAAATTGTGCTATAAATAATCTGACCTGCAAATCTGCTCTCATGATCATCATGAAATGGCCCAAGAGATCAGTAATAAAAGATCACTTGCATTCAACAAAAGTAAATGATCCCATGCATTCCAATTGGATCAAGCCTTGTTGGGGAAGAATTCAGGGTAGGGTCAATAATCATTTTCCTTAATAGGGATTTTAGTGGCACACAAAGGAGTATCTCGATATGTAATCGAGGAATTGCGGTAGTTTAATCGCCTACCGATTATTACTTACTTGAAAAATATACCATACTCGATAAGAAAAATGAAACGTACTTATTTATCTTGTTTATAGAAAGGCTAATATCATCGCCTACAAATTGGTTAACAAACATCATAGTCTCTTTACTCGGGTGATATTTTTTTTTTATATTATGTATTTATGTTTCCGAATTTCTAATTCTTGTATGATGAATTTTGTATTTCCGTATTGATGAAAACTATAACATAGTATCATCTTTATTTGTTATGCATATTGAAGATCTTGTTAGCTCGACCCGGCATCGAAAGCAAGGAGGGCGCATCAGAAGAAGAAAGAGAGTTCAACAGCTCACAAACAAAACTAGACAGCCAATACAGCAACATCCTCTTTGCCATAAACAACTAAAAAAAAAGTATGTGAACTTGCAGTGGAACTCAGAATGTAAGCTGGTATCGCAAGTAGACACCAACAAAAGGAAATCATGACCCACAAGGAAGGAAAAGCAAAAAGATGCAATCTTTTTTCTAAACAAGTTGGAACAGATTGAACACCATAGAAAACTGCACCAACAGCCCCACATACATATCCAGGATTGATCTCTGTTAAAGCTTCTCACTTTGCTGTTCCTAAAACCAGAAAAACTGTTGGGTAGTTTTAAAGGAGTTTTCCCAATCCACTAGACTAATCCCTTTGTTAGTTATTGTTCACTGTAGCTTCCTGTGCAGGTTCCAAAACTACTAGAAACGATATTTCATGTTCATGGGTGGGACTTGGGAGGGAATCTTTGGTAAAGCAAAAGGGTAGCTGTCAAAAGTAATGCTTGAACTAGAAGAGGTTGCAAAATAGTGACCTAATTAACAAGAGTCACAAAAGAGTGTGAGAATCAATCTCAAAGAGGGATGGAACCCTTTTCTGTTTTGGCTTTTACACAATACCAAGAAATTCCCAGATTCCCTACTGAAAGATCATTTGGCATCTGCATTTTAACATCAGAATACAGATGAATGAATTTTACATGTTGAGACAACCCTGATGAACAACTTCAGTCTTCAGCATCAACTTCTCAAAAACCCATTTTGCACCTTTTATCAGTAGGTCATCATATTATGGAAGGGGGACAATAGTTGTATTGTTAGGTGCTCCCATGTCTACAACTTGCAAAAAATTGGATATATTAATCTAGAAGGAAGAACAGTGATCAGACCGTCAGAGCTAGCCAACTGTTTTTTTTCTTTTCCTTCCTTATTTTTGAAGAACACAAAGAACTGAAGAAGGAATAGAAGCTCCCAATAATAATATTAAAAAAAACCCAGTTTTGCTTATTGTACAAATTTCTAATAAATAGCACGTTTGTAGTTGTACTGTCAAGTTGAGTTAGTATCTCTGATTTCTGTGTGCCACCCATAGTTGAATTCTTATCATGAAAAATAAAATATGTGCAGTATAGAATTATTATAAATTTTGAGACAACTCTTGTACCTATTATTGGAGTGACACTTCTAAACTAACACCCACTTGAAAGTGTGAATGGAGTTTTCTAACTGAAGTCTAATATATCAGGGTAAGACTAATGCACAATTTAATGTGATTTTAGCTAGCTAACTACATGTGCCAATGGAGTACTATAACATAAAATTAGTGTCAGAGCAGGGGGGCAAGCCCTGTCATGATGTCATTAAACTAAGATTAGGTCAACCATAAGGCTAACCAAGTTAGATACAGCAAAGTAAGAATCTATCTGACAGGTTTTTGTAGCTTCTGGGAACTTGTCCTAATCTTTCATTCCACTGTTTGACAAACAGAATTTAATGGAATGATAATCAAATGAAAGTGACACTTTAAATTCCACTACAAAACCTTCCTTCCTATACTTCATCATCATCACAACTGTCGCTTCCTGAAGATAATCATATATATATAAAGTAACAGCTGTCCCTATTTGTATAAAACCCAGAAGAAAGAGACTGAGATTTGTAATGAAAAACTATGATCTGGCTTGACCGATGAATGGGGAAGGCTTAAACGTGTTTAAGCCTCCTTAACTTAGCAATCTAGTAAGCTATCAGACGACTGGTGCTATCCCATTCAACATGATAGCCAAACTTCAAAAACTAAGGACCAAAAGACTCACTTCAGTGATCTCTGACTTTTCAACCTCAGGAATTGGCTTTCACAGCCATGAAAGTGACCAAACTGGTTCCATAAGTTAGATTTCACCAACCCTAAGTACAGATCATCAGGCTGTGATATTAACTAAGGGGTCCATTGTCTTGTTGTTCTCAATGTCCTTGAATCTAGTTTAATGTTACCTTATGCAGTATTTGTACTTTAGACTATCATGCACTTGATAATTTACCTGCGAAGTTTTCATTCAAATCAGACAGTTGACAGGTGAAAATTAATGATCTACCAAACTATTATAGTATTCCAAGACAAAAACTTGTTGCTTACCAAGATGAGCATATTCAATACAGCAGTTGAACAACTTCCACAACAGGAATTCTGAGAGCAGGATCAGCAACAATGCTTAGACTACGGAACTACTAATAATAGGAACTATCCAACTCCCAATGGCATATTTTATCAACAAATAGTATACTATGGATCACTTATCTGCAACAAGTTAAAACTCCCTGATCAACACATGGCATTGACAGCACAATCAGAGAACTATTTCTCGTCGAGATATTGCTTGACAAGGAAACCCACTGCCTTTATAACAAGTTGAGTCAGGAGTTCGAACTCTTCCTACAATCTGATTCTTCAATAGTGATCTGATGTGGTTCGGTTAAGTTGGAAAAGAGGCGGAAGAGGTAAATTTTGAGTTGCAAGAAGGCATAGTTACTACTTACTAGCTTTCCTCAAGTGAGAATTCGGTTTATAAGAACCAATATTCTCCACTGGAGAAAACAGAAGACTTCACTATCCCTCTAGCAAAGACACATCTAAAAGTCGGATTTGAAGTTAGTAATAATGTATTCCAACAATTATTCATCCTTCATCAGGTTATACCCACAGGAAGCTGTTTTAATCATCTTCCAGTAGTTGGAAGGAACTTGATTGTCAAACCAATAACTTCCAAAGTTCCAAATGAGATTGCTTGCACGTTTCGTAATTGGTTGGGACTATTAACTAGAAGACATATCAAACCACTGAGAAAGAAAGGTAAAGCTATATAAAGTACTTCTGGCATATGGTTCCACCTAGTAAAGTTCCATAAACTATTTCATCAGAACAAACTAAATGTGTAAAAGTTTCCATCTCTCTTCTCTAGAATTTATGATCCTGCTAAACATTTTTCATTACTTATCTATTCTATAAGTTCTGATATCCAATGCATTCCAACGAAAAATGCTCCTTGAGTGACAAATCCTCAAAGAGTTCTAGCAAGATCTTAAATTTACCCTTGCCAACCTGCTTGACATTCTCTTAAACTATAAGGTATCATAAAGAACCTTTAAACATGTTTGCGTCATAATTTACTGCAGAGTAAAACCCTCCTTTCCACTTATTTTTAACTGTATATATCAATTAACAAGGAACACATTAAACACCCCAAATAAACATTGCCCAGAGAATTTATTCACTTCCAAACTCTGTAGTGAAGAGCATCTAGAGTGTGTCAGTCAATGCGTACATTAAAATGAATACAAGAACCATAATCTAGTAACTTTTCGTTTACTAATTACCAGATGTAGATAAGTAAACGGTAAGAATTCATCAGAAAGATCACAATACAAGCTGTTGCTTCAAGGAATATAAGCAAACATGTTCAGGAATTAACCTCAGAAGCCTGAATGTCCATTTGGCCAAAATGGACCAGCAATTTGCTACCATCTCAATTCTTTGCTTACTGTTGTAAATCATAATGACAAATCTTCCCAGTTCCACGAGTTGAACCTAGATGGGGCTCACATAGTTAGCAAATCTACCTGCAATAACGAAAGGAAGTTATATGAGCACTGGATGAGTGTATCATGCACCATATACATCTCAGTGCAAAAGGAAAGATTTCCAGTAATAGTTATCGTCTTCCTTTCAAATAATGCCTTTAACCTATATGCTAGTCATGAGCAATTCCTACAATTCTCAATGAACCAAAACTGCAAGCTTGACCATATGAAAGTTCAGATCAATTTAATCAAGTCATCGTTCTGTGATCCGACATCTATGCATAGAACTTCAAAACCAATACAAAAACAGTCACAGCATATCATCAATCAGTTTTTAGATCATAATGCAACTTCATTGGAACACTAACGACTATCATTTCACACTAACATTTTCCTTCTGAAACCATAATCAAGCTGAAAACTTTAAGCAAAATCCCAATTCACGAGCATTCAAATAATTCCCTATTGCCTGAACAGAAAACCCTACATTTGACAATACATGGAGGGTGGAATGTGAAAAGAAAAACCTTCACAGGTGGCGCTGGCCTCAGAAGGAAGCTTGGATACGAGGCAAGCTGAGGCAATGGCGCTGTGGAACGGCAGAAGGGAGCCCAATTCTCGTCGCACCACCATTCTTCCCATGATAACCAATGCACACAATTAGCCACCATACGCATCAAAATCACTAACAATAGAATAAATCACAGACTTAAATCAAGAACAGGCTTGTGGAATGAAGAAGGAGAGCAACCTTGGAGACGGAAGAGGAGTTCGAGAAACGCGAAGCGTCAAATTGGGAAGAATTGAAGGAGTTGATACAGAGATCCTTTTGCTTATTGTCGCTGATTGACAAAAGGTTCTTCCTTTACTACACGTCGCACGCATCAGCGCACAGGTTGATCTGCCAGCCAAAGTAGCCATCACAGCTCTGGTTTTCCCTGTCTTCCCTCTTCTGAGCGTCAAGAAATGAACCCTAAAACCTCCGCAAAACCCCTGGAAATGTACAGCAGTACAGCACATTCTCAGTCTCTACGACCTCCGGAATCGGAATGACCGGGGAAGATGCACGGGGCCCGAATTTCGAGCCTCAAGATTTCTCAGCCCATGTATCGCCCTAGCTCGGCCCAAGTTTTCATGTCATAATATGGATGGCTTTTACTACCTGGGTACTGGAGGCCGTGTTAGGCCTACCACGAAGCCAGACTTCGGCCCATTTGTCTCATTGGGGCCCATCAAATTTTGTGCGGTGCCACAGGCCCACAGCCATTTCGTAATTGCCCCACTTAACTAAGCGTAATGATTGATAGCCTCGTTCATTACTATGATCTCGATCTCTCCCTATGTGAATAAAGTACACACTGTGACTAGGCAAAAAATTATGTTTAAATACATTGATCAGTTTTCCAGTATACAATAACAACTTTGTTAGCTGCAAAACTTCCAATTATACAACACTGTGCCGTTACAGAATCAGAACTCTTCGTCGTCGGCGGTCGGTCTAGTAATGGGGATGGCCCATCTTCCCAAATGAGCCGTGTAATTAATGCAACGGATCACACCTCTGCCGGCAGCTCCATCTGGGAAGTCCACCACGCTGATGCTCCCAGCATCCAGATGAAACGATCCCATCCATTCTTTGGTCAATTTCAGGCAGTGGCCCATCAGTGCAATGTGAACTGCAGGATGGCTCACTACCACTGCTACCTTTTCTGGGTCGGATTCATCACTTACTTCATTCAGCAGAGTCTCCCATGCTTTGCCAGATTGATCCCACAAAGCCGAAAGTGATTCATCGTCAAACCTGTTCAGGAAACCGGGTCGAAGTAGCTGCCCCTCGCTTCCTTCCTGCACGATGTAACAGCAGAATGGTCTAGGTTCGCAACTTTTATGTGAAGTAATGTAATGGAATTCTATTCGGTAGTTTGAATGTAGGATTTGGTAAGTGATAGACTGTGCCGAAAACAATAATCAACTTCGTCTTAGTTTCTTACCTCGTTTAACTGCTGGAGGATGTCTGTCGCGTCAAGGTCCTTACTCCGCTTTAACTCCACATATCGTGGCACGCAATCAGCACCAAGGCAATCTGCTGCTTCTTGGACCTAGACCGGAATTCATCTGAGCTATAATTAAGTTGTAGTACTGTAGTAGAAATGGTATCCTGGAGAAAAGGATAGAAATTCTCACTCTAGAGATGGCCACTGATGTGTCGACACTGACATCCTCAGTGCTGCTGATTATTGTGCTTACTTGCAGATCAAGAAGCAGCTCTGCAATTTTCTGGGACTGTAGATATCCAAAGAATACGAAAAGGAATTCAGAAAGCTGGCTTTTTCAGCATAAATAACTACCCGCAGACGTTGTGTGAGTGAAGAATGTACCTGTATAATCCCAAGCATGTTCATTCCTTGATCACCAGCACTTCCTTGCATTGTTCCATGGCACACAAGTACTATCCGCTTGCTAGCTTTTCTCCCTCCGCCAGAAGCAAGAGGCGAGCTCGGTGTCTGCAATGAATCACAGTTTTCAGTTCAACATTCATATACTACGAAAGGGAAGAAAGCGATATGATTTTCAGCAAACGATAAAGCAGCGATGATCAAGACTTTACGAGTCATGTACCTGATTCAAACGATTGAGACAAATGTAAGGGGATCCACCTTCAGCTCGAGGTGTGAAATCCAGCACACTCACACCACAATTGCTCTGCAGTAGAATCCTAAAATATTCCGTCCCCAATCCTGCCATTACAAGGATTGAAATCACTGCTCGTGTACGCGCACCAGACATCGATTTTCACAGTACAAAGGAAGGATGGATCTTAAGTACCTATGGCTGTAGCAACGAGCGCCTGATTCACAGCATTGTGAGCTACCACAAGAACCGATCTACTCTCATGCTCCAAGATTCTATCCCAGCAATTCCTAGCCCGCGCCCACAACTCCCTCACCGGATAGTGACCATCAATGCTGAAATTCGGCGCATCCAACTGCCACTGACGAAAAGAATCGCCGAATTTCTCCTTCCCCTCGTGCTTCAGGAGACCCTACATACATTATGCCAACAACTAGAGTGAAAAATGAAAATCCTTTGCCAGTGAACAATTGGAGAAGAAATGGAAGGTTAGTGGAAGTAATTAAGTAACCTGGAAGGAGTATAGATCGATTTCTCTCAAATCAGAGTCTGTGAGAATCTCCTCCTCTCGATCGCCCCAAATGATTTCAGCAGTTCGCTTCGACCTAGTTAATGGACTGAGAGAACCAGAAAGAACTCGTCACACTGAATTGCAAAACGAACCAAACAAAGTAAGAAAATAGGAGGATGATCGAATGATACCTGCTGAAGCAAATGTCGAAGGAATCATCGAGAAGCATCTGACGGGAGGTCTCGGCCTGAGACTCGCCTTTCTTAGTTAACACCGAGAAATTAGAGCTGCCCTGGATCCTTCCTTCCGCATTCCAAGTGCTCTGGCCATGCCGCACCAGCACCACTCGCTTGGCACCTTTAATCGGCGGAAACGGCGCGGAGACGAAGAGCTCCGAGCTTATTTCTCCGTCTTGCGGAGTCGACGGTGGCGGGGTAAAGGATTCCTGTATCTCCTGGACGCCGCCGGAAGCTGAAGATCGGACGGTGAAGGGCGGAGACGGAGTTGTGCGGTAGAGGATTAGACGGTTGTGGTGGATAGGGAAGGAAGCTGCCGCGAGTGAGAGCATCAGGAAGCCGCCGGTGAGTCACTTACTTCCTCTCCTACTGTCAGTTCGCCGGCGATTTGGTTTCAGTTTCTTTCGATGTACTTTCCGGACTGCTGGGTTTAGTGGTTACCGTGGTTCCTAGGGGATTCAGAAATCAGAACCCGTGGCTGTTGCCACCTGGCAGGATAGCCATGGCCCACAAAGAGCCCATTTACACGAATAAGCCCAACCGTCTTTCTCGCAACATTTTTGCCGTAAAAGGATTAGTAGATGGACATGAAAGTAGTATCGGTAACACTGATAATTTTCTACAGGGTTTTCCAATGACAATCGTCTCCAACTAAACGAGCCTAACAAAAACTTAGGTGGAATTACACAGCTACACTGGAACAAGAACAACCCAATACATAGGATAGAGCAACATCTCAGCCCTTCTTCAAAGGGAAAGTCGGAATAACAGAAGCGAAGAGTGACGAAACCACACATAAAGGTTACTCTTCCATGGGTTGCTCGAGGGTTTGTTGCTTGGGGACCTTGACTTTGATCTTGGGGACTGTGATTGCTGGCTCTTGTGCTTGAATGGCAAGAGGAGCTTTGATCAAGCTGATGCTCTGTTCCAACTCTTTCCTTGCTTCTCTGCGCTCCTTTGCAGCCTTTGGCTTCCATCTGCACACAAAAATTTACAAGTGTGAGAGAATTACAACCTAACAGACAAACCGGGGACTAAGGATTTTGATAGCTTAAGACAGCAAGAAACTGGATGTCGAACCTCTGTGCAATATGATCAGCCGCCCTATCGTGTCTGATCTTATCAATCTTCTTGATGGCCTTTAGGGTATTCTCCATAACGTTTCTGTCGTATCTTTCGGGCCTGTTCCTCTTTCTCTCCAGCTCAAAGGTTGAATCCTACACAAATGTACAAAGTTCATAACATAACGCAGATAAACGTCAACTGATTCTACAAAGAGAAGGAAGGGTGGAAAAAAGGGAACATTTTTATACCTTTGTCATATCCTTTCCATGTAACCGCCTATAGGCCTTAGTCCATTTCACCTTGCGAGGATTCCTCTTCATCTTAAAGTTCTTGTGGCATTTAGACCTACAGAATCTAAAAATCTGCAAGAGGGAAAAGGAGTAGTCAGAAACTCGGTCCCAAATTCCTATTGTGTGGGAATTAGGATACCAAGTTGAATGAGAGTTTGCAAACTGCCAAGAACGGAGAAGCGCAGTGTACTCTTGATCATCAAATCCATTCAGCAGAAACTAAGCTGCAAGTGTGCAAAAATTAGACTACTCCTATCCTCTAACCAAGTCCCCATACAATGTTTAGACAAACTTTCACCAACAGTAATGACATCTAAGCAATGATATGAAAGGGAAACAAACAGAAAACTCTGCACCAAGTTGTCTGTAAATCCAGAAGAAGGAAAAGACTTGACCTTGGCATCATTGCGAACGAATTGAATACCATGCCCAGGATAGATTTTCGAAGAGCAAAACCAGCAGAACTCCAACCTCATTGTATCTCTTGTTTAACGAGCCAACTGTTTGGACAAGAAAGAAACAAGTAATCAGAAAGGCATCCAAGGTATAGAAACAGTGAATCGGTCGAGCTATCAGCGCCCTAATTCCAAAACCTCGACATACGCAGTAGCAATCGCGATTACAGTACACCTCCAATCAAATGAAATTCATATACTACATGAATCAGAAGAGAAAAAAGAACCCTAGATTCCAATCAGAGCTCCCGATTTTGGCTTAAGATGTAGCGACGAGAAACATAAATGGCTCGGCCAGACGAGAACGATTCGAGGAGAAGAAAGAAGCAATATCGGTGCGATAGTCAGACATGAGACTAGATTGAGCAGGGACAGGGAGATTGGATCATACCCGGAGGATTTGGTCGGCGGAGAAAGAAGTGACGGAATGAATGGCTGCTCCTTCCGAGTAGTGGAGCACCGCCTATGGAGACCGCTCTCCTAGGGTTTATGGCTGAAAGGGGAGAGAACCGATTAGAAGGACGATTAGGGCAGGGTTTTATGACTTCCGGAATCGGTGTCGGGTTCTTGACCCGACTATCTCGGTTCACGGGTTACTTCCTTGTTTTAACATTGCTGCTTGGCCCATCTGAATCGAGCAATGGGCTTTTAGAATTTCATAAGGCCATCCTCAAATTTTTGTTATCGAAGGCCCCATAGTAAAGAATCTCTTGTTCGTTTTCTGTTGGAGTGTTGAGTTTGCACCCCATTTATAAATCGGATTAGTCCAAACTTCAAAATTACTAACCCGAATTGATGGCGCGAGATAGCTCTCTTTAAGGAACTCGGCAAAATAGCCCCGTAACTTCGGGAGAAGGGCGCCTCCTCACAATGGGGTATGTCAATATTCATATGTATATGTGCTATATGTGAGTTTAGCTACTATCTACCATCCTTATTACCCACATTTTGAACTTATAAGATATATTTGAGTTTTGACGCGCATCCTTCATGATAGACATAGTGTGTTGTCAAATAACTAGTAGTAGTAGTAACACAATTTCATAGTGACTCCAAATCAAATCAATCATAACCACATGACTAGACTCAGTTAATGAAATTAGCTTATTGATCAAGGTAGCAAAAAAAAATATTGTGTTTTTGTAATTCAAAATAATGTAACTCAAATAAAAATATGATATCACTTCTGAAATAGCCCAAATTTTATTAAATTATGTGTGCTCATTGTAAAAGAACATGAATGTGATCCTTAACATCGAGAAGACAAGACCACCTTTTTTGTATTTAAGTTTTATCATTAATATCCGACAAATCTTTTAATCTAACATCTACATTGCATATATGGTAAAAGGGTATTCTAATGCAACACTCAATCCACATTTGTATCCCATAATCACCCAAATTAGAGTGGGGTTGTTTTGTAACATGTGAGGTGTTGGGGCAATATTAAGGAACCTTTGTGTCATTGAGTGAGTTTCTCCACCACCTATCACACACAATAAGGAACCCTAAAATCCATCATTTTCCCTTCCAAAACGACACGTTTCCAATCAAATACACTCATCTAAGTTGGGATGTCCCTGTGGACAGCCCAAGTGTTTGCTTCATGGCAGAATGTGAAAGAGTAAGAAGCTGACGATCAACCAGCTAAGCTACAGCTACCCAGTTGCTGCTGATGTCTTTCCATTGAAAATGACCCCAGTGAGGTGGGGATTGTTAAGATCGTATGATTCTCTTAATCATGTTATTAGTTGTGGCTAATTGTGATTAGGGTTTTGGGGAGGGGAAATTGAGGGGCCATGGAAATTGCAAAGTGATGATGGTCAGTGAGTGGTTCACTTATCCCAGCGTGGGTGATGATTTTTTCAGGGGCGCAGAGGCAAGCTGGCCAAGTTGTGGGAAAAAAACAGCCATATGGTCCTGCCTTTAATGGAAAAGCTTTGAAAATACATACGGTAGCTAGAGTGGTGGCCGAGAGAGGACATCATAGAGAGAGCCCCCATGCCAACAAAGCAACAACCAGGGAATGGGAAAAAAGAATTAGATTAATCGATTCGAAAGTATATCTATTTGGGTTTATCATCAAGTTCGATATTGGATTCATTTAAGTTTTTTTCTCTTTTGTAGAGGAATTCGTTCTTCCCGAATGCAATATATGACTCTCCGTTGTACTACGCTCTTCAAGTGTGCGTGTTCCCCCTTCTTTCTTAATCCGTATCATGGTAATTTTAAAATAACTCTGATGCGAAGAAAAGAGAAGCGTTAAGAGAGACCCTCTTGGCTCTACCAGCTTAGACTCTACTACGGGATTGAAAGCAAATTGAAAATGGAGTAAAGATTAGAAATATGACATTTACTTTATATAGCAATGGTGAAACTAGATTGTACACCTTTGTGAATATTTAGGTAAGAAACTCGCATATGAACCTGGCGAAACACGCGTCTAGAAGAGAGAGAGAAAAATTAAGATATAAACGAGAAAGAAAGAGGGTAACTTTCACTTTAAAAACAGAACTTTCACTAATTAACTTGATGTTATAACTGCACTGCTACGGATCGGAAAATCGTCGGAATCGAGAAATCAAGAATACAAAAAGCGATAATCAAAAACAGACACGCGATTTACGTGTTTCACCAACACAATGTGTGTTAGCTAGTCCACGAGCAGGAGAGGGCCCAAATCTAATCCAATATGGTAAAAAAACAGTTACAGATGACCATGCCCAAAATTGACAACCCAAACGTGTATTGACTCATACCCCGTGACTTCCCGTCGTAGCGGCTGATAATCCGATTCAAGCCACATGAATACTTGAGATCAAGAAAAGTTTTGCAAAATTAGTGTCAAATCACTCATCTCACTTCTTCATTAATGAACAGCTAGTACAAAGATAAGTTGATGGTTTTTTGTTGGCTGGCGATGAGGAATTTGGGCCAGGCAGCTGGTAACAACAAATGCCGTCGTCTTTGGCAGAGTGCATGTGTGGCAGCAGCTGGAAGAAAATAGACACCCCGTCGTTTTCACTCTCAAACGGCTATTAGATCTTTTCATTATTTGTTTTTGTTTTCTGTCTGCCTGCCACTTGGTCGATCGTCGCCGCCGCCATGAGTACCACCGCGCCGGCACCGGTGAAGGAGAAAAGTAGCCGTTGCTTTCGGCTTTTTTCCCCCCTGAAACGGAAGGGTAGGGGGCCCCGGCCGGCCGGCAGAGTGGTCTACTTATTGTACTCTCTTTCCTTTCGGTGTGGGCCTACGGCCTTGTCAGCTCCAGCTGGCGGAACCAAGCTTCCTCCCTCCTTATCCGGCCGTGGCCAGCCCCAGCCGGGGCCCTTAATTACTCCGCTGCTTTGATTATTGTCTCTAATCACTTTTGATTATGTTAATCCCTTTAAATAGTTGATGAATCCTCTCTATACAATTGTCGGTCATGAGTCGATGTGCAATGTTGATGATCACTTGGTGAGCAAGTAGGACTAGGGCTGAAAATTTGTATCTCACGTTACTGATCCGTCGCTGATCTTGTTTGATCTGTTTCTGAAGAGTCAAGATGTATAACTGATCCGTCCCGTCCCTGTGTCCTTCTTGATCCTGTCTGACCCTCAAGCGTTGGGACGAGTCGGGACGGGCCGGGGTCAGTGGGTCGACCCTAATCAACACACTACATTTTGGTACCCAAAATTATTTTTTCTTACAATTTAGTACCTAAAATTTATTTTTTTACAAATAAGTCCATAAATTGTGATGGCAAAATTACGTTTGGGTATCCAAACTTTTTTATTTTTACAAGTTAGTACCTAAACTTTTAAAACTTTACAAAAAGATCCAATGTGAGATATTTGTTGTTACTAAGGGTCGCAGGGTCAAAAAGTGGCTCGTCCCTAAATTGTCCCGACCCGTCCCGACCCAATAGTGTTGTTACCCTACCCATCGTTTGTTGATGAAAGAAACCTGGTGCAGCAGACATAAATGAGAAGACAAACAATCTAATACCATCCCGATGAACAATGTTACACCAAAATGGAATAATGTACACACACTCCACGTTCTATCCTATCTATCTTGTCTTGTCGACCGAAGAAGAGCCTTGTGTACGTGATTACACTGCAAAAACATATACCGCCATTGTTAATTCTGCTAACCCAAAACGGGCAAACCCTCCAAACTGGTGGGCACTTAACCTAATTACCCTCTCCATGAAAACGACTGCAGAGCAATTTCGAGCCTCTGATGTGTCAAGTCCTGTTTGGATGCTAGCTAGCTCCTCTGCTAATTGCAAACAATTATGGGTTCCTTTTTCCGATCACAAGTCCCTCTCGATCGATCAGCATATGCTCTTCACAACAAGGGAACTGGAACTTGACGATTCCTTTCGTATATCCTGCTACTCATGGGTCTAATCACATTCATATGAATCTTCTTTCTACCCATAAAGCTATATACGTCGTAAAAAGGGAAAAACATTGAATGACAATACGTCTCCTCTCCTCCTCTATGTGTTTCTATGTTTCTTGTGTCATGTTGGAATCTTTCCATGGATCATATAGAGTGGCATGCAGTGGCGTAGTCGGAAATTTTTGTTAAGGTGGGTCGAACAACAATATAAATCGTTGTGAGCGGTTAACATCAAATGACAGTCGACAATCTGACTCAGATGTTGGGGAACGCTATCATGAAACAAGATGAATTTTTTTTTGCTGGTAAATAGATGGTGAATACGCTACGGAATGACGAGCGGCAAGCGAACAAACCTAGTAGCTAGCAGATGACGACTGGCAGGATTATTAGATTGAGGTTGTTGCTTGTAGGAATTCCGGAATCATGGTCCGCGAGTAGAAGAGTAGAAGACAAATAGATTGATCGATGATAATTTGGGGGAGATCGTATAAGGAATTGTGATATAGGTAATAAAAGACAGGTGCATTTGTGTTTCTTTGTTTGATGTAAAAGATACTAATGAATAAAGAGATTAAATGTTAAAACATAAAAATAAAATGACTTGAAACTGAACAATGTTAATACGTTGTAGTGAAATGAAGGTTGGGAGTTTGATAATCCTTATAAGAGTGATATGTTTACTTTTCGTGGTTAGGTACTAGTTAAAAACTATTATTGATAATTTTTATTTATGTGTGGCAGAGAGCAAATGTGGTGCAACCGACCATTGGCAGATCCAGAAATTTTTTGTAGGGGTGTCCTCTTCCAAAAATTGAATTAAATTAATAATTAAATAATACATAAATAATAAAATATCCAATTAGTATAAATGTTGACAAAAAGCCACGATGTGTTTTCATATTTCGAAAAAAAATATAAGATAGATTTGGTGTGTACACTGCTCAACAAACGGTATATCCTACTAGATCGCATATTCAATGTCTAACCTTGTTCATGATGTAATTCAAAGTTGAAAAGACTGTTTCAACACTTGCAGTGTAACCATAAAATCAATTCAAATTAGGGCACCCCTCGGGATAAGAAATCTCGTTTTCACCATTACATAGTGTTTAAAATAGAACAACAAATGAGTTATAACCTAATGGAGAAGATGTTAAATAATAGTAGTGTCCTAGATTTGAATAACACAGAGTACCACTTATATTTTTTTAATCACGCAAACTACTATCGAGGGTAAGATAATCGTTTATTAAAATTTTAGAGGTGTCCCAGATTACTAATTATATTTTGTTTATCCATACGAAACTACTACCAGAGATTGAATAATCGTGTTCCCAAAATTGAGAGGTGTCCCGGGACACCCTAAATTAAGCATCATGTATCCGCCACTGCCTGCAACCGACCCACCTTGGCTCAACTCAACACCAGTACTCGTATAAGCTTTGAGCCCAAGGTGATTGTTGGAATGGTATTTGATTAATCTTATGGAAGGAGTTCCAACTTGCAATAGCTAAGTAAAACCAATCATCTGGATTGATCTCAGCTTTGTGGATTGGACAAGGTTGTGTTATTTACGAGAATTTACATCGTGTTCTATTATCTAACAGTTAAGGCTTCCGTGGAAGTTTGGAGTGGCATATCTGTCTAAACATGATTATTGCTAATAAGGTATTATCGTTGGAGGACTAATGGTTTCTACCAAATCAAAGCAGGTTTGCATTAGCGTTTTTTCTTGTTGGGTGTCCACACTTGGCAGTCACAACAAGAACTGTTGATCCTTTCAAATTTATTTGATGATCATAATACGGTTGAAAAGAAGGTTATAAAGAAATAAGGGAGGTTGTTAGTTGTTACGAACGAAGTACAAAGGTTTGACTAGTTTTCCCCGGCAGACTTAGCGGTGCCATTTCCAACGTCCCTAATAATCCAAACGCCCTCCTTCAAGGAAAAAAACAATGAATAATAAATAAAAACGTCAATACATTTTTTGGGTAGATGAGATAGAAGTATTAGTATATTTATTACTGTGGAAAATAGTTATTGATATATATAATAAATCATTTGAGTGTATTCCACGAAAACACACCTATGAATATATAATAAATCATTTTAAAGGACTTGAGCCATAGAGTAATTATTTGAACCTAGTCAAGTTTCACACGAGACAACCTAATCAGAACTCTGAGAGTTTGTTCAGGTGATCGGTGTTAGTGTTGTGGTATATGATTCACGATTGAAACCTCTCCCAACAACTCGAGTTATTGGAATCAACTGGTTCTTGACATGGTATCAGAGCTTTCTGTGACTGAGAGGTCTTGTGTTCAATTCTCGGTGACCCCCATTTGTTAAGCACGTGGTATTCTTGTCTTCAGACCTGTGCAAACTTCAAGCCCTTGTGAGTGGCTTTCGTTTGAGGGGGCGTGTTAGTGTTGTGGTATATGATCCACGATTGAACCTCTCCCAATAACTCGAGTTATTGGAATCAACTGGTTCTTGACATGGTATCAGAGCTTTCTGTGACCGAGAGGTCTTGTGTTCGATTCCCAGTGACCCCCATTTGTTAAGCACATGGTATTCTTGTCTTCAGACCTGTGCAAACTCCAAGCCCTTGTGAGTGACGAGTGACTTTCGTTTGAGGGGGCATGTTAGTGTTGTGGTATATGATCCACAATTGAACATCTCCTAACAACTCGAGTTATTGGGATTAACTGGTTATTGACTCAATAAAATTTAGAATGAAAGATTTTTTTGTTTGAATCTACATAATCATATCTATAATCTCCAATGTAAAGTATAATTTGTCAATTCCCCGTTGGTGCGAGCGATGAAATCAGAAAAGGCAAGAAGAGACCAAGCAAGCAAAGCATTGTACATACTATCTGGCTTTACAAAAGCTGAAGATATCAGTCCGTATGAAACGAAACAATTATTATTAGTAGTACACGCATGACCGCATAATCCTACGTACACTTGTTGTTATTGGTCTCTCTCTTTTTCTCTTCCTTCTGCGAGACAAATGATTGTTTACTCTTCTTTCTCTTGGAAGCAAAACTACGACCACCACCATTGACCATTCATTGTACCTTTGCCATATAGCCTGTGAGAATGATGAACCTCTAGAATTTTACAGTCTCTCAGAATAACTATAATTACATACATATAATTTATCCCTTCGTTTGTACATGCATGAACCACACTACAAGAGATTTAGAGATGTGCAATTGTTAATGCACGAATATCAATTATATATCATGCATTAGTGAATTACTCAACAAAAAAGATTATGTATCTTGGCTGCCATTTTGTTTGTTTGTAATAGACCCATAAATTACTATTTGGAAATTACCGATATGGAGCTCATTTTAGGACGCAATAATGTTGGGATTGCTATTGATGAATGATCAACCAAATTAATTACCGGTAGAGAGCGGATAAGTTGAACTACTGGAGACAGGAATCCATTCGTGTCATTGTAATCCACATGTTTTAGTAGGAGGGATCAGCTATAAATCACTGAAAAAGAGCACATGAACTGAACTCCTGAAGCAATCCGTTCGTGTTCATTGTAATCCATCTGTCTCAATTGGTCTCCGATGCACTACCACATTGCGACCAACTAGTTATATTTAACATTTTAACCATGGTATAATATAATAAGAAAGAAAACTAAAAAAAAACTTTTTTTATCCCACATTGGGAGAATTTCGTATCAATTATTATTTTTTCACAAAGCCATCATTCATTAACAAATAATCAGCATTACCAGGAATTGGATTTTATTTTTGGTTCATCCATCCAACAATTAATCATCACATCAAATCCACATTACGGTCAATTAATCAAGCTAATTAATTACAGTTTTATGGTCAATCGATCCGTGGGAATCCATTGGTTGTGGGCTGTGGATTGCAGTGCAATTAGACAATTAGTGACAGAAGAAGAAACCAATTTTAGGGGGGGAAAAAAAGAAAATACAAAGACAAATATGCCAAGAAAACATTCTTCTATTTCGATTAGCTGTCGTAATTTCCTGCTCACGTATTCATACATCATAATAATCATCATCATCATATCATAATCCCGTTAATTCCGGCAAAATATATAAAAAATGCCCCCGGAAAATAAATTCAAATTTTAGTTTTCTTTTTTTCCTCTTTCGAAAATTGATTCTTATTAAATAAAAACACGCGGTTTTAGTTAGCTCCCTTCCCGTCGCTTATCCTCTCTCTCTCTGTTCCGTCTCTTTCTCTCTCATAATTTTGCCTTCTCACTCTCTCACTCACTTCCATACTCGCACTTCAAAGCACAGCAGCAGAGCTCTCTCTCTCTCTCTCTCTCTCTATCTTTCTCGCTCAAGACCGCTGGCCTTTTCCTCTTCTTCTTTCTCTCTCTCTATCTATTCTTTCAAGAAGCCTCGCCATAATCGCCCGAAGAGGAAACCCTAGGCGCAGCGCTTCAGATCTGCGCTTCCCCATTTCTGGAGCTCTTGTTGTTGTTGTTGTTGTTGTTGTTGTTTCATTGAGATGCATTCCTCGGTGGCGGAGCTGTAGCTGAGATTTTGAAATCAGGGGGAAATGTCCGGCTCCGACCCGAAAGCCCGACCGAAGCCCGGCCCGTGGCCACCAGCACCGGACGCGTCCCCATTGCCGCCGGCTACCTGGGCTAAGAAGACCGGCTTCCGCCCCAAGTTCTCCGGCGAGACCAATGCCAGCGATTCCGGCCAGATTTCTCTGCCTCCAAGGCCCAGAGAGCACCGGGATGCCCAGCCCGATCTCGAGGCCGGACGGGGACGGCCTGCGCCGGCGTCGGCGGTCCCGTCGCCAGCTCCCACGCCGTCGCCGGCGCCAGCTGCAGTTGCGGTGCCTGCTCCTCCATCTGGACGGGCAGGGGCAGGGGCTGCCCCTGCTGTGAATGGGGGGACGGAGACGGTGGTGCCACCGTCGGCAAACAACAAGAAGGATCAGTCAGTGAAGAGGAGGAGGGATTCCGACGGCGGAGGCGGTGGGGCTCATAGAAAGCTACCGTCGGGTGGTAACGGAGGAGCAAATGGGCAAGGGAATTCGGAAGGCGGGGCGAGGAGAGCTACGAGGAACGACGAAGTAATTGATGTGTTGCCTCAGGAAGATGAAGGTTTCCCGGCAAGGCATTCGCATATGAAGTACGAGCTAAGGGACACACCGGGCCTTGGTAAGTTCTCCGGCAACCAGAGGTTGGGTGTCTGTCTGTTTGTTTCCCCGGGGAAAAAGGGTTTTCCTTGGACCAAATTCTTAGAGTTAATGTGTTGGTTTGATTTGATTTTCGCAGTTCCAATTGGTTTCTACGGATTGCAGCATTACCTCTCAATGTTAGGCTCGTTGATTCTAATTCCGCTTGTCATAGTTCCAGCAATGGGCGGTTCCCAAGTGAGTAAATCGGGATCAAGTTCTCATCTTTGAAAGCGTTAAGTGCTGTGGGATGGTGTTATTCTGAGTTCTGACTGGATATAGTTGGTGTAGGAGGATACTTCGATGGTGGTGTCGACGGTGCTATTCATTTCCGGGGTTACCACGCTTCTTCATACGTCTTTCGGTTCGAGGTTGCCGTTGATACAAGGCCCATCGTTCGTCTTCCTAGCTCCGGCATTAGCCATAATCAACTCACCGGAGTTTCAAGGCCTAAATGGAAATGTATGCTATGTTAAGTTTCTTGATTGAATTCACTATTCAGTTGTTTAATGTGTCTGAAAGCTGATTGATTGTGTGGGCAGCATTTCAAGCATATTATGAAGCGGCTGCAGGGTGCTGTTGTGATAGCTTCGGCCTTTCAAACAATACTCGGATATAGTGGACTGATGTCTATAATCTTAAGGTATATACATTATCCATTACAGTGCTTGAGAGAGGAATCCTTTTCGCCCTATTGTTCCGGTTTACATATTGCAATGGTTCCTTATTTGGAATTGAGTATCTTTTTTTTTTTCTTCCTTTTTCAGATTGATCAATCCTGTAGTTGTTGCTCCTACCATAGCAGCCGTCGGACTTTCTTTCTATAGCTATGGTTTCCCTCTAGTTGGTACCTGTATCGAAATCGGAGCTGTGCAGATATTATTCGTTATCATCTTTTCTCTTGTAAGTTCAGTGAGACATATAGACTTATATTACTTTAGCTACTAGTTGTGTTTTTCTTGCAACTGTGTGATCGTCTCACTTCAATTTGGATATTTGAACATTAAGTTCTGATAGATATATAATGACTGTTTTTTCTTTTTCGTGGCAGTACCTCCGGAAGATATCAGTGTTTGGCCACCGCATATTCCTGATTTATGCGGTAAGGGAGGTCTAAACTTTTGGTCTTTGGTATTCCCATGTAAACTATTTACGAAAAACGGATGATAGCTTTCATTCTCTCTCAGTAGGTTACTAATGTGGTAGCTTTCTTTATGTACTTGATACAGGTTCCGCTGGCTTTGGGTATCACATGGGCTATGGCTTTCCTCTTGACAGAAACAGGAGCCTATAGTTACAAGGGCTGCAATGCGAACATTCCTGCTTCAAATATTATATCTGAACATTGCAGAAAGCGGATATCAAGGATGAAGTTCTGCCGTGTTGACACTTCTCGTGCATTGACATCTTCCCCATGGTTTAGGTTTCCATATCCACTTCAATGGGGTACTCCTGTTTTCGAGTGGAAAATGGCTGTGCTAATGTGTGTGGTGTCCATTATCTCATCCGTGGATTCGGTAAGTTGTTGTCCATTGGATTTTATCTAAGTGTTTATTTCCAGCATGAGTTAGAAAAAATTATGCGCCGAGCAAGTTCAAGGTGACCAAGTCCTTAATTGTTTGTGTTTCTGTCTGGTCTCGAATAATCAGGTTGGCTCTTATCACGCATCATCGTTGCTGGTGGCATCTAGGCCCCCAACACCAGGTGTACTTAGTAGGGGAATTGGGCTTGAAGGTCTCTGCAGTGTCCTAGCTGGTCTATGGGGTACTGGAACTGGCTCCACAACGCTAACAGAGAATGTGCATACTCTTGCTGTGACTAAAATGGGTAGCCGAAGAGCAGTTGAGTTAGGTGCGTGCATCTTGATTGTCTTATCGCTCGTAGGTACGTCATCATCTATCTCTGTCTCCAAAAGCCTGTTTAATAAGAATTCTTCTGTTCATTGTTAATTGGATTCCATATGTAAGCATTTCTTGATGAGTATTGGAAATTTAAGTATGGGCATCAATAAGTGTTGGGACTTTGGAGTGGATTGATGTGCCTCTGTTCCCCGTTCAGGAATTAACTGGTAGTTTTGGTAGATAAATCTCACAGATCACTCTGGTGAAGATCGTCAGCGATGTATGTTAATAGTGTTGGACTAATAGTTTACTTACGCTCTCAATACAATTTGATATTGAGCCCTCGTCAATCTATGGGCTTTTACTCTCCTGTTTTCCTATCGTTCAATCGAACTGTTGCTTTCAAGGATTTCATTTCTTTATTATATGCCAGAATGTGGTTCGTAAGAGTCTGAATTTTTTGCTAATGTACAACAGGGAAAGTAGGGGGGTTTATTGCTTCGATCCCACTAGTCATGGTAGCAGCTCTACTCTGTTTCATGTGGGCAATGCTAACAGCTTTGGGATTGTCGAATCTACGATATAGCGAGGCCGGAAGCTCTCGAAACATCATCATCGTTGGGTTATCCTTGTTCTTCTCTCTATCTGTACCAGCCTACTTCCAGCAATACGGTATCTCTCCAAATAGCAACTCGTCAGTTCCCAGCTATTTTCAACCCTATGTTGTAGCTTCTCATGGTCCAATCCGAACTACATTTGGAGGGGTAAGCTTCTCGCTTTAATGTTTCAGTTCTTTCCATACGGTTCTTTGGTTGGTTTCCTGACGTGCATTTCCATCCTTTTGCAGTTGAACTACTTCCTCAACACGCTACTCTCGCTCCATATGGTGGTTGCTTTCATCATGGCCGTGATCCTGGACAACACAGTGCCAGGAAGCCGGCAAGAACGTGGTGTATACGTGTGGTCTGATGCCGAAACAGCAAGGAGGGAGCCTGCTGTGGCCAAGGACTACGAGTTGCCCTTCAGAGTTGGTCGGCTTTTCAGATGGGTAAAGTGGGTTGGACTGTGAGAGGGTGAAGGAAGAAACAAAACACAAGATGAACTCTCAAATAGGGTTGGGCGACTCTGCAAGTCCATTTTGCAGCTGGCTTTTCTTTGGCGAAACAGCAACAGCGGATTTAGCTGCGACTATGGGAGTAGGTTTTCGTTCATCACGGACACGGAGAAGAGAAGAGCACCTTAGATAGCTAGCAAAGTCGGACGACCGATAATAGTTAAAGTTAAAATCCTGAGCTCATCAACCCTATTTTTCTCTGTACATTTTCTGGATCCATTGATGGATCTGGCCGTGTTGTAATTTAATCTCTTAAATATTTCTTTAATTTTGGCCTGTTCATGTATCTATATCAGTTCTGGTCGTCTTGATTCATTTGGAGCATTTTCTGGGGGAAGGTGGAGAAATCAGAGTCTTTAAATCTTTTCTATTATTAGTTGTGTATATTATTATAAAGAAAAATTCCAATATGATTCTCAGAAACAGTATGTTCCAGTTCTACTGTCTAGTTTTTACCTTCGATCAATGTTCCGAAAAGAATGCTAAATAGAGAAGCTATGAGAGCAACATTGTAGACCTGTAATATTGAATCTTCAGGTTGTAAAAGACGTATGTACCGCAGTATGAAGCAGAGCAGTGGCTGGTGTCATGTTCTTCGTGGTCGTCATCATCGTTTCTGGAAGTTGAGAACTTTGAGGGAGACAGCGAAAGTGGCGAAGAAGACGAAACAAAATGCGATCAGTGCAGCAACGGAGATACCAACTTTCTCAGGTCCGTAATCAAAGTTACTCTTCAGGTACTCTTTAATGGTGAGCTCGAATCCTGGTCCCGTGATCATGGACTCCAAATTGCCGAGCTGGGATGAGATTATGCCCTGCAATGTCCATGAAATTGGGCAGAGGTAGTAAAACCACCTCCACCATATGGGAATGCTGTTCTTGGGGATCAAAAACCCGGAGAACAGATTCCACAAGGAGTAGGCTGCAGAGGAGACTATTGATGCGAAGTGTTCAGCTGACGTGAGGCCCACGGTTATCATCCCGTAGAAGGTGAAGTAGGTGAAGGTCAGGAACATGAACAGAGCGTAGAGGAAAAACTTGCCTGCAATCACAATGCCAAAAAACCGGTTTAAGCCCCGAAACGTTCCATGACAATTCTACAGCAACCGAAAATTCAGAAGGGGGGAGTGGTAAACTTACCAGCTGATCTTTCAAAGTTGATCATGTAGTAAGTGATGCAGCTATAGAGTATTGTTTGGGCAAAAATGTATGGGAGCTCTACAATGCCCTGCGCAGCTGCATATGCTAATGGAGAGTATAGTCCAGCTGCTTTCTCCCTGTAAAACACTGTTCTCTCTATCGAAACTATCGGCTGTACAGATGAAGCATTGCTCACTCCGAGAAATATGCACGCGGAGTAGAGTGCTCCCATGACAGTGAACAAAGCTTGAGTTGTGTCCCTGTAAGGCCATACAATTCACATCATAAGCTTCATCATTTGCTAACGACCAGATACTACATTCATAGGGCTGCAAGGCAAAGAGTATAAGTCAAGTAGTTAATTACCTTTTGGAGCCAATGTCCCAAAATTGAGACCCCAAGATCAGGGCGGCTATAACGGTGAACATCAGCCTCACAGCATTGTATTGTGGGCTTCTCCAGTAGACGATGTTCTGTTTCTTCAGGCAAATCAGGAACTGAGACCAGGAATTTCTTGCGAACGTTGTGGGGAATGTTAATGGTTTTGAGCCCTCTGGAGGGATACTTAGCTGCTCTATCGACTCCTCCACTTCCCTGTACTGCTCTGATTTGGCGTAGAGTTGAGCAAAATCCACACCGAGTCTCTCTTCAACGCTAGCTGCTGTGACTTCGAGCATCCAAGTAGCCGGGTTGTGACCATCAACAATTGGAGGGATTCCTTCTATTCCTTGAAAGTAGTCTACCAAATGCTTGGAGTGAACGCCAAGTTTCCCACCATATATCACCTTGCCTCCACGTTTCATCAGAAGTAACTGAAGAGGATCTTGCTCCTGAAGTTTCTCTGTAGTTGTTAGTAGTGATAGTTGTTGAGTAATGGACCGTTGCCCACTGTTGGGCAGTTCCTTACTTCACTCACTTTCTGTTCCTTGTATATCGCAGCACTCTGTTGCTGCTGAGAACTATAAAGCCATTCATTGAATAATGTAAAACTCAAGCTTTGGGTTCTTCATGGTATCAGAGCGTCCAATACTCTAACGAGTGAATTTCTTCCTTTCTTCTTCCTTCTCTCCATTATTCGCCCAGTTCTTCTTCTTAATTCAAGCTGAAAATGGCTACTGGCTCTACTTCTTCCACCTCTGTTTCTTCTACCTCTGTTTCCGGTGATTCCACCTCTCTGTCAGCTCTCTCCATCTCCCTGCCGGCTAATCCCCAGCTTACTATCAAGCTCAACCCCACCAACTACTTGTTATGGCATGCTCAGATCACACCTCTTCTTCGTTGCCATCAATTGATGGGTCATGTCGACGGTTCCCTCGCTGCCCCACCGCAATCAATCGATGGTCAATCTAATCCTGCTTATTGGTCGTGGTATGTGCGTGATCAGTACGTACTCACCTGGATCAATTGCTCACTCTCTGAGGCAGTGTTACCCAACGTCATCAACAAAGCTACCGCCTTTGATGCTTGGACGGCGTTGGCTACGATCTACGCGTCCGGCTCCCATATCCAAATTCGGCATCTCAGCAAAGCTCTTCAGCATATTCGCCGTGGTGAAGCCTCAATTCACGATTATCTTCAGGATGCGAAGGCTAAAGCTGATCAACTGGCTGCTCTTGGCTCTCCTGTTCCCGCCGCCGATCTCACTGGCTGGATCCTCGACGGCCTGGGTGAGGACTATCGGCCGTTTGTTCGGCATATCGAGGCGCGCATGGAGCCTATTAGTTTTGAAAATCTGCATTCGCTTCTCCTGAGCGAGGAGCTCCAGATCCAGCGCTATGCTTCCCGATCGGAGTCCCCGGCGCCGACAGCCTTCTTCTCCAACGCCGGTGGCTATCGCGGCCGTGGCAGCCGTGGCCGGGGTCGTGGCTCCGCCCGCGGTCGTTTTTTCTCTAACTCACCTGCTGCTCCTTTTTACAGGCCGCCTCCAGCTGGTGGATTGCTTGGGCCTCGGCCCAACGGGGTCATTTGTCACAACTGTGGAGGCCGTGGACACATCAAGCCTTATTGCCCTAGCCCAGCCATGCCCTCTTCCTCGGCCCAACCTGTCCCCTACACCACTTCAGCTCCTGCCCACACTTCGGCCCATCCCTCTGCCGGCCCACATACACTGTTTTCCTCCTCACCAGCCCAATCATTTAATCCCTCTCAATGGTTACTTGATTCAGGCACCAACCACCATCTCACGTCGGACTTAGACAATCTTGCCCATCATTCGGAATATAATGGGACGGATCACGTCACCTTTGGCAATGGTAACTCTCTTCCCATCTCTCGTCTTGGATCTTCCACCTCTTCCTTATCCGATACTTCTATTTCATTGGATAACATTCTCCATGTGCGTCATGCCCCATATAATCTTCTCTCGATCAGCTCACTTACTCGTTCTAATCCCATTTCCATTGAATTTTTTGATTCTTTGTTTCTCATCAAGGATCGACGCACGGGGCGTGAACTTCATCGAGGTTATGCGGTTAACGGTCTCTATTCCCTACCTCTCACTATTTCCCGCAGTCTCTCTCCTGTTGCCTGTGCTGCCTCCTTCGACACTTGGCATCGTCGTCTTGGTCACGCTCATGAACGAGCAGTTAAACATCTCCTCTGTCAACATCAAATAAAATTTACAACTTCATCTCCTTCTCTGTGTCACGGTTGTGCTGTTAGCAAAATTCACAAAATTCCTTTTCCTTCATCCACTTTTCGTGCCAATGCTCCTCTTGAGTTAGTTTGTAGTGATGTATGGGGTCCTGCCCCTGTTTTGTCGTATGATGAACAATCTTATTACATCCTTTTCTATGATCATTACAGCAAATTCTCGTGGATTTATTTTGTTCGTTATAAGTCCCAATTGCTAACAGTTTTCATTCAATTTCGTCAATTGGTCGAGAAATATTTTGGTCTTCCCATCAAGTCGTTTCAATCTGATTGGGGTGGTGAATACCAAGCTTTGTCCACTTACCTCTCCCAAAATGGAATTGCTCATCGCTCCTCTTGTCCTTATACTCCTGAGCAAAACGGTTGTGCTGAACGCAAACATCGCCATATTGTCAATAATGGTCTAGCCCTTCTTCATCATGCTAGTGTCCCTCTTAAATACTGGCCGCTAGCCTTTGACACCGCGTGTTATCTCATAAACCGCACTCCTACTCCGCTTCTAAATCATGACACACCCTTTCAATTTCTCTTTCATCGTTCTCCCGATCTGGCTAATCTCCGTGTGTTTGGGTGCCTTTGCTATCCTTGGCTTCGCCCACTCGCCGCCAACAAATTATCCCCTCGTTCTGTTCCCTGTGTTTTCCTGGGATACAGCAAACTTCACAAGGGTTACCGTTGCCTTCACATTCCCACCGGACGAATTTATATCAGTCGTCATGTCTTGTTCGACGAGAATAATTTTCCCTTTTCTACCGTCCACACTGCCTCCCCATCACCTTCCCCTGCTCCCTCGTTCCCTTCAATACTTTTGCCCGCCTTGCCTTCCACCTCCCCTACCGTCTCAGCCCAGCCCGTTTCCCCCTCTCCAGCCCACAATGAGATCTCTTCGGATCCCACACCCGTTCCCTCTCTCTCTCGCCCAATTCCCACTTCCCAGTCACCCGGCCCACTAGATCCTCCGCCAATACACAATGACCCCAACCCACTAGAGCCCATTGCCTCTCAGCCCCATAATAAGCCCGACTCACTCACTAATTCAAACCCACCCGGCCCGTCGGGCGGTTCCCCTCACCCTGATTCTCCTCTGCCCTTGCCGACATCGATCCCCGATGTCCCTCCCTTCTCCGCTTCCTCTCGGCCGCTTCTCCACTATCAGCGCCGCCGTTCCACCAACCCCGCCGTTCCATCAACCACTGCTCGGCCCAGTTCCTCAACCAAGCCCCCCACCGCCACCTCTCCAGCAGGCCCTTCGTCCTCCTCCCCTTCCCCCAACCCTCTGCTGCCCCTGCCGAATCCTCCCTCCGCTGTCGTCCCATCTACTCGGCCCCTTCTTCAATACCAGCGTCGCCGTCCCGCCATTACCACCACCGTCCCCTCTTCCCCTGTTCCGACCAGCTCCTCATCAGTCCCACCTTCTCCCACCCCCCTTCCTCCACGCCGACCTTTGCCGAATCGCCCACGATTCACAACTTCCCCTCGCCCTATCCCAATTACGAATCCCACCAGCTCTTCACACCCCATGGTAACCAGAATCAAAACCGGTCATTTAAAACCCCGCACTCTCCTTGCTACTCTCCATGTTGATGATACCCCAACCTCTGTGGCCCAAGCACTCAAACATCCCCAGTGGCGTTCGGCAATGGCCGATGAGGTCACTGCTCAACTTCGGAATCACACGTGGGATTTAGTTCCACGGCCACCCAACTGCAATCTCCTCTCCAACAAGTGGGTTTACCGCACCAAGCTGCTTCCTGATGGCCAACTGGATCGTCGTCGTGCTCGCCTTGTTGCTCGAGGCTTCGAACAAATCCCGGGTCTCGATTTTGATCAGACATATAGTCCGGTCCTGAAGCCTGCTACACTAAGGCTTATTCTTGGACTTGCAGTCAATCAAAATTGGCCTCTTCACCAGATTGACATAGCTAATGCATTTTTACATGGTGAGTTGCAGGAGACAGTGTATATGCAGCAGCCCCCCGGGTTTGTTGATCCCGATAAACCTGACCATGTTTGCCGCCTTCGGAAGTCAATCTACGGTCTCCGCCAAGCCCCACGAACATGGTTTCATTGTCTAGCTACTGCCCTCTCTCGGTTCGGTTTCGCTGTCTCCAGAACGGACCCGTCCCTCTTCATCTACAAGAATGGTGTCACTCGACTGTATATGCTTGTTTATGTGGACGATATCGTCATCACGGGTAATGATCCTTCCCTCATTCAGCAGCTGTTCGCCTTTCTCCGAGATAATTTTGCTCTGCGGGAATTGGGGCCATTGTCATATTTTCTCGGCCTCGAAGTCAGCCGCTCCTCCACTGGTCTCGTCCTCAGTCAGCGGAAGTTTGTCCGTGATCTTCTAGAGCGAGCACACATGTCTAATGCCAATGCCATTTCCACCCCTTGCACTATTGACATCATCCAGCAGTCAGCCATGGATTCTTCTTCCTTCTTTGCCGATCCCGTTCTGTATCGCAGCATTGTCGGCGGCCTGCAATACCTCAGCTTCACCAGACCGGATATTTCCTTTGCAGTCAACCACGTCTCTCAGTTTCAACACTCTCCTACGGATAATCACTGGGCCGCAGTGAAGCGCATTCTTCGCTACCTTCGAGGTACTATTGATCGTGGTCTTGTGTTCTCCAAATCTCCATCTCTCCATGTCCATGGTTATTCAGATGCATCATGGGCCTCCTGCCCCCAGGATCGAAAGTCTATCACTGGGTTCGCCGTGTTCTGCGGCACCAATCTGGTGTCCTGGTCAACCCGGAAACAGAAATCCGTTGCTCGATCTTCCACCGAATGTGAATATAAAGCCCTCGCCACACTTGCTTCTGAGGTGATCTGGTTACGGTCTTTGCTTCATGAACTTGGTCAATCCCTCCCCACAGCTCCTACTCTATGGTGTGACAATCTTGGTGCAACATTTTTAGCTCACAATCCGGTGTTTCACAATCGGTCTAAACACATGGAAATTGAGTTCCATTTCATTCGTGATCATGTTGGCAAAGGGCAGCTGCGCGTGCACTACTTACCAGCTCCAGATCAGATTGCTGATGTGCTAACCAAGCCATTACCGCGCCAATCCTTCAACAAATTCTGCTCCAAGTTTCGTCTCACCGAGCCTACACTTGCGGGGGCGTGAAGAGGATCTTGCTCCTGAAGTTTCTCTGTAGTTGTTAGTAGTGATAGTTGTTGAGTAATGGACCGTTGCCCACTGTTGGGCAGTTCCTTACTTCACTCACTTTCTGTTCCTTGTATATCGCAGCACTCTGTTGCTGCTGAGAACTATAAAGCCATTCATTGAATAATGTAAAACTCAAGCTTTGGGTTCTTCAGTAACTGCCCCCATGGCCCCATCAACCCAACAGAAAAGAAAAGGTATAAAAGGCTAGCATTTGAAACCAACAATTGGGAGAAAAACTAAACTACAAGAACGACTCACATCGTCAAAGGCTTCAAAGATATCAATGCTTGGTTGATGGATAGTGCAGACCACCGTTCTCCCTGTATCGACAGTGTTACGAACAGTTCTCATCACAATGGCTGCAGCTCTGGCATCGAGTCCTGATGTGGGTTCGTCCATGAAGATGATTGAAGGATTGGCAACGAGCTCGACAGCAATCGTCAGTCTTTTCCTTTGCTCTGTTGATAAACCTGTATTTCCAGGCACACCCACCAAAGCTTGCCTCAAGCTATCAAGCTCCACTAGTCTCATCACTTCTTCAACAAACTCCTGCAGTAACAAATTAAGGGAATTAAAATGTCTTCTTAACGCAATTTAATAAACTCCAATCAGAGCTAGATTTGTCTCTGGAAGCTTACTTTTCTTTGTCCTTTGCTGACTTCTTTGGGAAGGCGGAGGCTAGAAGAGAACCAAAGGGATTCCTCAACAGTAACCTGAGGAGAATGGATATCGTTCTGTTCAACGTATCCTGAAATTCTCGCAAACGATCTTTGCTCTTTTGGGTGACCAGATATCTTGATTTCCCCTTCTATCAGCCCACCAGTCTTCCTTCCTGCCAGGACGTCCATCAGAGTGGTCTTCCCAGCTCCACTTTCCCCAACTAAAGCTGTTAGAACTCCAGGCGTGAACACCCCACTCACATTCGATAGAAGCTGCAGCCTCTTCTCCATTGACCCTGGTTTCCTCATTTCCTGAAAACAACATCAATGCCATTCAGAACCCACAGGAAATAGATACTTCGATTGCTGTTAAGCTAAAAAGTTACATGCAGAAGTACCTTGGGCATATCAACAAAGTAGTTGACTTTACTGAAGGTCATTGTCAGTGGCTGAAACGGCAAAATCATTCCAGTCTGTTTAGTGCGCTCATCATGACCTTCAGCAGCTTTTGTTTTTTTGGACAACTGATTATCACTTCCCTCCTCGGATGGATCAACTGGGTTGATGGTTTGCGCCCTTTTAAGAGCTGTGACCAACAAGGTAGTTGTGTAAGAACGAGCCTGTGGCTGTGACAGTGAAGGAGAAGATACATATACAATGACTTAAGCTCTGAGAATGCACTTACGACGAAGGTAGGCCAAGGCAGCGGTCACCACGAGGTTGAAGAACACTGTAAACAGCACGAGAACCCCCAGTCCAATCCAATACCAGTAATCCTCCGGGGGCAAACTGTGCTGATGGAGTACGTTGTTTCCAACCGTAATGTTTCCGACAGCAGACATCTGAAGCGTACAACAAGTTAAACTCAATGAAGTGTTGAGCATTACCAATATCCCTGTCTTAAATTAGACGTCGCTAGTTCGAGTTTCAGTTCTGGTGATTTGAATACATACCTTCTGCCACCTCTCGGCGGCAAATTCGTTGACAGAAATTGCGCGCTGACCGTAGGTTAGTGGTGAGATCCATGATGCCCAAACCCACCATGGCTTCATTACAGCTGTGCATATATGTAACTGAGTTAAAAAGCTGCGCCAATTGGTTAAAAGTAGTTAACTTTTTTCTTAAATCTTTCAAACCACCTTTGGGAATGATGAATCCACCAGATAAGAACACAATCAACAATGCAGCTGAAGCAAACGTATTGGCGATCACTGGATCCCTCGCAACTGCAGCCATGGTTCGGAAGATAGACATTGCCGCTTGATGCATCCAAAACAAGAGAAACATAAACCGGAAGAATCTGGTGCACACACATTAGACACAACAGGTCAAAATTCGCTGGTAGACAAACAACTAACTGAACCAGTACTTAATCAACAATGATTAGTCGATTAATCGCTCACCTTCCAACACTGGGGGCAAACCCCACAGAGTAGTAGACAACGACGGTCCACATCACAGCTTCAATAATCGAGTAAGGCACACGGACCACGAAACTGGCTAGCGACCAAGCCCACGCAGGGTGGAAGAGGTTATCCCTCTGCTTATAAAACACAGGGAGGCGACCTATCAACAGGGGCAGCTCTGCAAACCCATTGAACTGCAAATGAACCAGGCCGAAGAACAGGCAAGCGATGTACAAGTTCCCGTTGATCTCGTCCACTGGATGTAGCCTCGCCCTGGTGAACATTGTGCAGGTGACGAAGCCGACTAAAGTGACTTGCACCGTCTTGAAGATGTACAGAAACCCCTGCCTCTTCATTAGAACCGTCTCCCTAGTGAAGCACGTCTTGAGAAGCTCCCACCTCGACGCGGCGTATTTGGTGTTCGAGAGCGCTGAAGGATGGTCTTTGGTTTTGTCGTAAGGAAGGGAGACCGCGGAGGCAAGTGATTCCCCGAACCTGGAGTTTTTGAATGCTCTGGCGATCTCTGGCACTGAAATGAACTCGTATGGTTTTGAAGGGTCGGCCCAATACTGTGCTTGGTCCTTTCTCGATGTAACCTGACCAAACCAATAGTATTAAATTACAAATCTTGACATACACACCAGCTGTCAATCATGGCTTTGGAAGGACTGTTAAAATACCTCTTGAAGGAAGTCTGCTACGCCCTTTCTTGGGGGCAGCTGGAAACCCAAGGATTGGAAGAATTCCAGAACTTCCTCTCGCGGTCCAGCATATACTAAGTGCCCTTCTGATAACAGGATAAGGTCGTCAAACAGATTGAACGTCTCCGGGGGAGGTTGAAGAAGAGCCATCAGCACGGTTCCTTCCATTAGATGGACGAAATTGCCCATGCATTTCACAATCTGGTACGTCGTTGAGCTGTCCAGCCCGGTGGATATCTCGTCCATCAATAGAGTCTTCCTTGGCCCGACAATCATTTCTCCTGCAACAAGCATATACAACACTGATTGGTAAGAATAACACTTTACTTAGATTGGATTGGATTTGATTATGCAGCAAGTCATTCTAAATAAGTCCTGTCAAACAGGTGGAATATACCAGTTGTAACTCTTTTCCTCTGGCCACCGGAGACACCCCTAAGCATGTTATCCCCAACTTTCGTATCAGCGCATATATCAAGGCCAAGCACACGTAAAATGTAATCCGTCGAGATGTTGTGTTGCTTGCTGCCAACCACTGAGGCCTTCGTTACAGTTACACATAAAAATTAAAGCGTCAAAATCATTAAGAAAAGGAACCAGAGAGAGAGCTTTTTGGGTATTCGTGGCAGTATCAAACTTAGTTAACCTTCATAAACGCATCGATAGCTGGATTTGGACGGATGTTGTTCTCCTCTTCTAGTCTGGCTAGATCATCCATGCATCCTACAACCCCAAAGTGAAATAAAAATCCTGATCAGTCAACTTGCCCAAACTTCACTACATTTTGGTAATCGCTTAAGTGTAATGTTATTGCAAAATGTTTGATGGATATTTATAAAGGAACATGCGAAGAGAGACCAACCGCCAAAGGCATTGGTGGCGCCTTGCCAACGAGCAGCGTAGTCGAACGTTTCTCTGACGGTCAGCTCGGCTATATGGTGGTCGGTTTGGCTGACGTAAGCAGCTGTCCTTTGAACATAAAACTCATCTATGCTCTGCCCATTGTATGTAACATTTCCGGTTACCTGAATAATTGTTTAGAAAAAGGTTAACCGTAAGGTAGTTAATTATCACTGCTTTTTTTTCCTGAAATAGTCTTACTCTTATGGACAAAAACAATATCTGAATGTTAGATGTTACGCAAGGTTTCTTTTATAGACTAAAAGATGGGAGAAACGGGCATGCGTCTAATCTCTAATCCAAAGTCTAAGTAATTAATTAATTAATCAACATTCAGTCATGATGAACTTAATTAATGTACCTCTAGGTTGTGATCAAGTTTGCCGGCAAGAGCTAAAAGCAATGTCGATTTCCCGGCTCCCGGAGGGCCTAAGAGCAAGGTCATCCGGCCAGGCTTGACAACGCCGCTGACGCCGTTCAAGATCGTCAAACGATGTCGCTCAGGCCGGCATATCCGCAGCTTGGTTGAAATATACTGCCAGATAAGATAATCATCACCGTCATGATTCGAATTTGCGGGAAAACTGAGTAAGAGATTGTTTGGAGAAGAATGGGAGACTGAATGCAAACCTCAGCTGCGTCGCGGACGGAATTGAGCAATGTAGGCAGAGCTCGAGAGCCAGTTTGTACATTGGCTTCCACCTTCAAATTCTCAAATCTCACTTCCACCTTCGGCACCTCAATCCCGACTCTGACTCCGTAAAACGAATAATCAGCAAGATATCACGCAAGAAAACCGAACCGTGCGGTCGAAATTTGAAAATTGTAGACGGAAAGAAGTACAAGAAAGTTCACAGGGGACATTCATCGAACAGTTTCGAGACATTGCTGTTTCAAGCTTGAAAAATTAAAAAAAAAAAAAACGATAAAATCTCAATGAGATCAAGACCAAAAGCGTACCTCTCGAGACGGTCTTTAACGCCGGCGAGGAGATTGTGATTGTCCTGAGAGCTCGTGGCGAGAGCTTTCCTCAGAACAAGCTGTCTGTACGAGCGGTCGAGTTTCCTGACGTCGATCTTCTCCGCCAACTGAATATCATTATTGCTGCTGCTATCGCCGCCGACTACGCTCGCCAATTCGGCAGGAGTTCGGTTGAGGACGGCGTAGTGTACTCGCTCCTCCGGCGGCAGCTTACCGATCTCCTCCCAAACCTGCTCGTTCTCGTGCTCCTTCTGCGCCTCCACGTCGCTGACTCCTCCTCCGGCCGCGGAATCCATGGCCGTTCGGAGATAAACTTGGATTTCTACTCGGGGAGAGGAAGAGAATTTTCAGGGAAGCGTGAGGACAGGGAGAAATTTGGTTTGCTGATAGCGAGTGAAGTGTGTGTGTGAAATACTACTGGGTGCGTGAACTGTAAGTGTGTTTATATACAGGGTGGAGTTTTTCTTTTTTACCGGAGATCTATTCCCTCTCCTCTTATAATTCGAATTTTAATAATTATTACAAATTAATTCCCCGCTTGAAGTTGAGTTCAATTACAAGTGGAAATACGCATTACGCACAGTGCCACAGGCTACACAGAGTTCAAATTGATATCAAGCATTGGATGGATGAAATCCTCAGTGGATTTCAGTCAGCTTGTATTGCCAATGCCATGCACGGATCGATCTCTCTGGCAGATCCATGCCCGTTTTGTCTCATTTAGTCCTTAGTAATATTGTTCATATACATTACCAATTTCTGTCAATATTTGTTTGCCTGACGTTATTAGTGCTTTAATAATCCCTTAACATGCATGAGATAGGTACCGTGGAAGAGAAGAAGATCAAATTAGTGTGTTCAAGTAAATATCTAAAATATAGAATTAAAAATCAATGATGGAGTATTTCATTCATGGAAGAAAGTAACCAATTGATACAAGTTTCAAATTTTTTTTTATTTATAAATATCTATGATGTGTTTTCAATTTTCATATCATGAAAGAATCTTAAAAAAAAATCATTTTTTATACTCTCAATTATCTTTCGATACATTACTCAGCTAGCTCGACTCTGTTTCATTCATTCTCCTTCTTCGGCTCAGTGACTCTTGTTTCTCCCTCCCTCTCTCCCGAGAACTTCTTATTAACAAACTCTTACTCAAATACCTAAAATACCCTTTCCCATTACTCACCGTAGGATCACAACCAATACAAAGGGACGGCGGATATCAAGTTAAGCTCCATGCTAATCCTACTGGCTACTGCAGACCCGACGAGTGGAAATTTTTTGGTCAAACCGATGGTTGCCCATACTTTTTTTTTTTTGGTAGAAAGATCGATGCACAAGGCGTCTAATTCATAGAAACAGAACGTTCATGGGCAATGCCCATTACATCATGTCGAAGCCAATAAACTAATACCCTATCCCTTACATTGAGATTATGTGTACCAAAACTAAGATCATGGCCCAAACTCGCCAAGTGGTCGGCAGCAAAATTGGCCTCCCTGTACACATGAGAAATGGTAACCTCCCAGTTGAGGTTCAAAAGAATACTAATTTATTGTGCAATGCTCCCATGGCGATGGTCGTCATTCTCGCACTTTTTAATAATATCAATTGCAGTAGTAGAGTCCATGTTGAGGTTAATCTTTCGATATCCCTTCTTCCAAGCAAGCTTCAGTCCCTCGGCTGCTCCCTTCAGCTCAGCAGCTGTTATAGAGCAAATCCCCAGGTTGCAAGCAAATGCCTCCTTGCAGTTTCCAAGATGGTCTCTCAAGAGTCCGCCTGCTGCAGCACTGCCGGTCTGGGGAATCACAGATCCATCGGATTGGATTTGGATCCAGCCTTCCCTTGGGGGTTCCCATCCCACTTGCTTGACAGATCTGACTCTGGTCTCCATATTGGTCACTTTCTGTACATTCTGATAGACTTTCCAAACAATGTTGAACCAGGCGTTAATCCTTGCAATGAGTCCCTCTTTTGAGAAAATCTTCTCATCCATCACCTCCTCATTCCTATGCTTCCATAGGTGCCAGCAAACGATTCCAAACTCCACTCCCGTATTCTCATCACGCAGATTCGTGATCATCCAATCTTGCATAGGTAGGTTTGTATTCTTCTCCGCCATCTTGCTGTTCATCCTCTCCCAGATGCTTCTGGCCTTAGTGCAGCTTCGAAGGATGTGCTCAATTGATTCTTCATGGTGGTTGCAGTGCGGGCAGGAGCTGTCATTTGTGATCTTCCTTCTGGTTCTCTCTTTGTTGGTGAAGAGCCGGTCTTGAAGAACATGCCACAGGAAATGCTTTATTCTGCTTGGACCCTTCCACTTCCAAAGACTTTTCCAGTTGCTGTTATATTCTCCAATCGAGCTCGTTGGCCACAAGTTGATAGGCAGACTTCAAACGAAATCTTCCATCTCTTTCGAGCCCCCAGATGGTCCTGTCCTCCCCCAGGTTGTGATTAGGCGCCTCCATCCCTGCAATAGAAACAAGGGCGTCATCAGGTAAAACTTGCTTCAGTTTCTCCCAATCCCACTCACCATCCTCTGTGGTCCAATCGGCCACGGTAGAGGTTTTCTCCTCTTCAGAGAGGTTTCTGGTGCAATAGTCCTCCAAAATAACCCCATTTTCCAGCCATGGTTGGGACCAGAAGCTTGTGGTTTTCCCATCTCTAATGCTCCAAACAGTAGCTTCTTTCATCCACTCCATTCCTTTGACAATTGCTCTCCATAAGCTTGAATGGTTGCTCTTCTTCAACAATAGCTCCTCCTTTATGTTTGAAATATTTCCCCTGGAGCACCTGTACCCAAAGATCAGATTCTCTATTCAACATATTCCAACCCAATTTGACCATGTAAGCTATATTCATATTACGAGCAGATTTCAATCCCAGACCACCTTGTTCTTTAGGTTTACAGATTCTATCCCAAGTAACAAGGTGGGGTTTTTTCTTTTCATTCGAAGACCCCCACACAAACCCTCTAACCTTCTTGTCAATGGTGTCACACACTGAGATGGGAAGGATAGTGGTTTGCATAGCATAAGAGGGAATGACATTCAAAACCGACATGGCAAGGGTAACTCTACCAGCAAGGGACAAGTTCTTGGCCTTCCAGCAAGACAACTTCTGATCAATTTTATCAATAATGTATTTATAGGTGTTCTTGTTGATTCTACCATGCAAGATAGGCACCCCAAGATATCTACCCAAATCATTTGTAGCTTGTATGTCAAGTCTGCAGCAGATATCTTTCATAGTCTGAATCTTGACATTCCTAGCAAAAAAGATCCTAGACTTATCATTGCTAACAACATCACCAGAAGCACTACAAAATCTATTGAGGCAGTCAAGAACAGAATCAACATTCTTAGAAGTGGCCTCAGCAAACAACACTAAATCGTCTGCAAAGAAAAAGTGGGAAAGGGCAGGCCCTCCCGGAGACAATTTCAAAGGGTTCCAATGACCATTATCCACATAAGCTAAGATACAGTGACTAAGTCTTTCCATACAAAGAGTAAAGAGGTAGGGAAAAAGGGGACATCCCTGACGAAGGCCTCGCGATGGTTTGAAGCTCTCAGTTTCCCCCCATTCAACAAGACTTGAAAGCTGGTGGTGGTGACACTTCATGATGAGTTGGATTAGAAAGCTTGAAATCCCTGCAGCCCTAAGGGTGTCTTCAAGGAAACCCCAATCCAACCTATCGTAGGCTTTGGCCAAGTCGATTTTGAGGATCGTATGCCCCTTTTAACCAGTCCTCCTTGCCATGGTTGCCCATACATGTGCAGGGAAACAGTAGCGTTTCCTTTTACGCTTCCACTATCCTATTTTAGCTTACTCCCGAAACAGTAATTAGTAATTAATGAAAAAGAAGGACCAAAAAAGAGGACAACTTTCCCAAACAGCTAGCGGTTTTCTATGTTTGAAAATCTCGCGTTCATAGTAAAAAGCAAATTAATTCCCGGGATCCTCATTATATTCCCAGTACACATATTACTTCTCGATCTCTCTTGCATATGATCAATCAACCGCAGTAGATATGAAACCCGTCGACATGGCGACGGTTTTCACCGCCACGGTCTTCTTGCCGCTGTTGCTACTTCTCGCCGCCGAAGGGAGCACCACCCTCAACGAAGCCGGCGCCGGAAGGGCTGTTTGCGAAGCCAGGGGCGGCGACGACAACCGCACCACCGACACGGTGACGGGGCAAGCGGCGTGTTTTGAGAAGTGCGGCGGCGATAACTTTCAGGCCTCCGTCGCCGCCGGGTTGGATAGTAGTAGTACTGCCACAGCGGGTCGCGGTGGTGGTGAAGCGGCGACGGCGACGTCGGAGAGGACACCCTACTTGTTTAATGTTCTCGATATCGTTCTGACGATTGGTAACAAGTGTTTCCTTTTGGTTCTGTTGTTGCTAGTGCGCTGAGAGTTTGGGTTTGGAAGGGGTCGTTAATTAATCTCCCTAGGTTGATTGTGTTTACGGCCGGTGAGATTATCAATCGTTACTGGGAATTATTCTAAAGTATTTCGTGGTTATTATTTATTCTTAATTAATGCCGGGATTATTATTATTATTATTATTATTATTATTATTATTATTATTATTATTAGTATTATTATTATTATTATTATTATTATTATTATTATTATTATTATTATTATCATTATTGTTGTCAGTATGCCTCAGTGAGTCAGTGGTTCCATCCGTCTCCGACGGGCTGATAGAGTAGGCCGGCCGGAATGGGCCTGGTTGGCCACCATCCTTCAGGACTTTCGCCAGGAGCGAAAAAATAGCAATTGTATATACGACGACAATACTTTGAGGACTTGATATCAGGCTGTAAGGGTGGACACGTGGGTGGTTAATCCGCAGATTGATATAGATCTATTCACAAATAAATCGACCTGCATATAGTGGGTGATTGATATGGGCGGATTGCGGATTGTTAAATCTCCCGCCCGCACTTATGTGGGTGGATTGTGGGTCACCTGTATGACTCACGTCCTATTTTTACATGGAAAAATGTTGTTTCTTATAGTATCGAATATTCATCATATTTTCGAACGACACTACAGTCTAACCATATATTTCAAAAGGTGGAGAATAAAGAATAGTTTTGACTACTATTATTGGTTATTGTGTTGTGCGATATCCATTGGATATTGGGTATTGGTATGCAAATTATTGTCAATATCTATTAAATATTGGGATACAAACTATAAATTATTAATTGTATCAAAATCACATATTATTGATACAATCATACTAATTTATAAAACTCTTCTCCTAATTTCAAACAGAAAACTAAACACTTTTTTTTCAAACATACAAGGAAAGTGTCAAACCCAAAACCAAACAGAATAGACCTAAAGCACAGAATAAAATAAGAAAGCCCAAATCAAATTCAAGACCATTATTTTGGTGTAAGATTGACACTTGCTCTGTCATTTGCTGCTGTTATTTTATTTTATTTTATATTTTGCTGTTGTTGTTGACCTTTGTTTGTTAGACTGGTTTCTTTTTTTCTTTGGATGTAGAATTTGATGACGCGGAATTGAAATAACACTGAACACGAGATTTTACGCGGTATCCTCGATCGATCGATTGATCGAGACCAATCCATGGTGAGCTCGGAAGAGCTCACGACTGCCGTTTTATTAACGACTACATTGTGACGACTTGCTATCACACATGTCGATAGCTAAGCTTATATAGATAAACTTAGGGTTAAAACCCTGATCCAACGAATCAGACGAGGCCCAACAAGGCCCAATACTAACACGGTTTAAGTAACCGCAACATTTGGAGTTCTCCAATCGTGTATCTCTTCCTTCTCTTTGTAACTTGTTATTTCCTTAATTTAATTGATGTCAACCTTATAAAAAAACGTCATATCCTAACAACCCTAATAATTTAATAAACTCAAAATGTAGTGTCTTAGCCCCAAGCTTATCCCCGTCTTAATATTTGATTCCTGCATGGTGGAGAGGTCGCTAGAGGCAGAAGTCCAAAATGAGAGTAATTAGTGATATGATAATTAATTACTCGCAGCAGAAAGGTCATACATATTTTATCTAAAACCAGGCTCTCCTGACTGGCTGTCGTCGTCAAGCGAGAGATCAGAAGTCCATTAACACCGTCACGTGGGGGAGTCCAACACTCCAACTTCAGTTCTTCATCTTGAATTCCTCTGTGACTACGTTTTGAAGCTGAAAATGGAAATTGAGTTGGACGCTGCTTTGCTTTTCTTCCCTTCTCCATTTCCCGGACACTTTTTCAAATTCACTCCCCTTCTCTGGTTCTCCACTCTCTTTTTCTGGCTTCTCTTTAGCAACAAACACCCTAATCCCAAAAAAAAAAATGTCGGGAGGCGAAGCTATTCCAGACAACCCGCCAGCAGACAGAGAGCCGCCGAGTGAGTTGGAATCCGGCCGCCGCCTCCGACGACTCCCTGGCCATGGCGGGCGTCACGACTTGATCAAGGTCCGTAGTTTAGTCTTACGTAATCCGTATGACGTATCCTCCTTAATTTCGCCGCCCACATTACACATATCTCGTCTCATGTTTCCTCAATCCGGCGGCTTAGTTAGTTAATGTATATATTTTAGAGGATTATATTATTCTGCATTTGTATGGAATTATTTAAGACACAAATATCCGTCTCTAAAAATAACTTTTGGAGTGAAATATATTTGCGTCTAATTTGACTTGTGGAGACTATTTTATCAATCTCAAAAATGTAATTTCGTGGTACCACAAAAAGTGGCTTGGAATTCCGTGCAATTAACCAACGAAAAAATTGTCATTATTACGTATTAGAATCCAATTTTTGGAATTTCTAAATAGAGAAGATTTATTGTCAATTATAATGGAATTCACTCCATTTTAGGTTCAAGTTCAAACAGAGTTAATTAGTCCAATCTCCCAAGGCTCGATTAATTAAGGCTAATTAACACCCTTTATGGGCATACAATCCGATACATTCATACAAATAAAAATCAGATCTGATTAGTATACAAAATACAAGTCAAGTATATGCTGAGACAATCAAAATACATTGATGATGATTCTCTGAACTAGCATCAATCAACTGATCACCTGGAAACTCAATTATCCATTTTTATCTCTAAAATATTTTGCTACTAGCATAACTATAAGTAACATTTGTGTAATTTACAATATCAAGCCCACGATTTCGAGAAAGTTGTGCGGAAGTTTGCGTGTCGGAAAAAGAATAAAATGGCTCATTTGATGGCCCAAGCTGAGTGTAGGTGGGAAGAGGAATTTACAATATCAAGCCCACGATTTCGAGAAGGTTGTGTGGAAGTTTGCGTACCGGGAAAAGAATAAAATGGTTCATTTGATGGCCCAAACTGAGTGTAGGTGGGAAGAGGATCGGAGGAGGTGTGAATTGAATATTGATAGCCCACCTGTATTTCTTATACCTTTCTCAGAGAGGATTGCCTTATAAACCTTTTTATGGTTAATTAATTGAATGCATTGTTATTAAAAAAAATTGTAATTGTCATTAAAAGTCTTACACTTGTTTCTATACTACATAAAGTGACATTTGTATTTGTTTCTAAAAGTTTCAAGATATTCATAAACAAAAGTTCTAATATTTGTTTCTATATGTATGGTTTTCTTTGATCTTCTTAATTAGCTTAAAGTGGCAACTGTCTCTGTGTCAACCTTTCATTTTAGTTGCAAACCTTGGATTCGTTTGTGGATCCTGGAAAGTGGAAATGCTCCTTCATGTGCTCCTAATTAACAAATAATATGACATTTTGAGACAAATCTATATATGTGCCACTAAAATTTAAATATAGAAACTAATACAATAATTGTCTCTAATTATTTATCACTATAACCACGTTTTTCTTGTAGTGGTTGCAGGATGGAGTGGGTTGGGGGCTGACGGCGCGGCTCGCGTTCCAGAGCTTGGGAGTGGTTTACGGCGACATCGGGACGTCGCCGATGTACCTCTACGCGAGCACGTTCAGCGACGGGATAAAGCACGACGACGACGTCCTGGGCGTTCTGTCGCTCATACTGTACACCCTCACCTTGATCCCGCTCGTCAAATACGGCTTCGTCGTCTTACGCGCCACTCATAATGGAGAGGGTAACATACTCCCATTAATTAAAGCTCTAATTATGGAATCACTTTGAGTTTTAGACAACTAATTACCTAATGGTACTTAGGTATCATCGGACTCTCGATTCATTGTTGTCCCTAGTCATATTATATGCTTCATTTTTACGTATAGATTAATTAGATACCTAACTATACATTCTATTTTCTTATGAGTGTTTTTTTAATATATTTAGAACATGTTTGAATAATTCAAATTACAAGAGTTCAATTATTGGTAATAGCTAGTGAGATATCGTCGTTGAAAATTAAATTAAAAAATACATTACTGTACTAGGTGGGACGTTTGCATTATACTCGCTCATATGCAAACACGCGAGGGTGGGGCTTCAGGGTCAACCAACAATAGAGGATGAGGAAGACGAGGAAGACGAGGACCAGAAAAATGAGGTGTCGAAGGATGCTCGAGAAATGGCTTCGAGGCTCAAATCGAAGTTAGAAGACAGTCAATTCGCAAAGTACGCGCTTCTCGTCGCATCGATGTTTTGCGCTGCCATGGTCATCGGAGACGGAGTTCTCACTCCTTGCATCTCAGGTGTGTACAAATTGATAAATAAAGCATCATGGTTTCCTTCTGAAGAAGAAGAAAAAAAAGAGAACTCACATTTGCTTTCATCTGACCCTTTCTCTTTTTCTTACCCAAAATGCAGTTTTGTCAGCGGTGGGTGGTATCAAGCAGACTATAGAATCCATGACGCAAGGTAACTATTAGCAAACGGCGTCGTTTTGAGCTAGCTAGCTTTGTGTGTAGTCTTTAGTCACATTTTGGATGCCAATTGCAGAGACGGTGGTGGGTATCTCGATAGTCATACTGATTGGCTTGTTCGCGGCACAGAGATTGGGCACCGAGAGGGTGGGTAGCTGTTTCGCGCCGGTCATGTGCGTGTGGTTCGCAATCAACGGTGGGATCGGCCTGTACAACCTCCTGAAGTACGATCCATCGGTCGTCCGAGCTCTGGATCCGAGGTACATCGTCCGTTACTTCAGCAGGAACGGGAAGGAGGCGTGGATCTCCCTCGGCGGTGTGGTCCTCGCCACCACGGGCAGCGAGGCGATGTTCGCCGACGTCGGCCACTTCTCGGTTCGGGCCGTGCAGCTGAGCATGTGCGTCGTCGTGTACCCGGCACTCGTCCTCGCGTACTTGGGGCAAGTCGCCTTCCTGACCAAGAACCCACACCTGGTGGCTGATGCCTTCTTCAAATCCATCCCTGGTACTATAAGTTATTCTTAGGGGTGGCTATACGGTCCGGTCCGGTTAAATTGGCCCGAATTGATCTGGTCCCAGTCCGGTCTTTTCGAGAATATAAGGACCAAAGATTGAATTAGATCCAGTCCGGTCTTGATTCTGTTCGGTCCCAATTTGGTCCTGATTTTAGATTGAGCTTGTGGGGATTTGAGTGGTCTGAGAGAGATTTGAGTGGCCTAAGGCCTGAAAGGGTGAGGAGGTTAAATTTTGGGTGTTGGGCTCTCTTATCCGGTCTTTATCAGATTTTCGGTCCAGTCCCAAACGATTTTTTACCTCAAATCTAGGCCCGAAGATTGGATTGGATTGTTTACTATCCGGTCCTGGTCCGGTATCGGTCCGGATTATACGGTACGGTTTCGGGTAAAACCAAAAAGTCCGGACCAAATAGCCAACCCTTATTCTGATTGAGAATGCCTTAAATTACTTTGATCAATGGAGAGAGAATGGAAGGTTTAACAGTAATTAACTAATTGTTTTGTTAGTGAGTGGTATAAGATCAATTAATGAACATCTCCCAACAACTCGAGTTTTTGTGATCAACCGGTTCTTGACATGGTATCTCTGACCGGAAGGTCTTGTGTCCGAATTCCGGTGACCCCGTTTGTGAAACACATGGTATCTTGTATTCAGATTTGTGCAAAAGAAAGCCCTTATAAGTTGATTGACTTTCGTTTGAGGGTGTGTGTTTGTGAATGATATAAAATCCATTATTGAACATCTCCCAACAATTAAAAAAAAAAAAATTGTTCAGAAAAAATATCTTATTGGAACTGTCCAATAAATCGAGTTATTAGAATCAATTGACATGTTTACTTTGTTCATATGTAGGGACACTTTACTGGCCAGTGTTCGTGGTGGCTATTCTGGCGTCAGTGATAGCTAGCCAGGCGCTGATTTCAGGGACGTTCTCCATCGTTCAGCAGTCTCACTCGATGGGCTGCTTCCCTCCGGTGACGATCGTGCACACTTCGTCGAAGTCCCCCGGCCAGATCTACGTGCCGGAGGTGAACTGGCTGCTGATGGTGGCCTGTGTCGCGGTTACGGTTGGCTTCCAAACCACCGCCGGGATTTGCAACGCATACGGTACGTAATCTATGTTTTATTATAACGTCTCGTATTTTTACATGCCAATTGTGACATTTTCTTGGACTTAATTAGTAGTTTAATGTTTGCTTTCTACTTTACTGCAAACCATAGCTTTCTGATGAATGAACAAGTGAGGAGAACAGAAAGCAAACGTTTGTTTAATCGTGTGCTGAAAATTAAAAATGTGAGTTCCACACCAATGGGCCGAGTAGAAGACGACGCCCACAAACAAACAAAAAATAGTTTTGTTTCTTTTGAGTCCACCCGACAGCTTAATGTACTCAAGCCCAAGCCTGCAATGTAACTAAAACCAGAATGGCAACAAAACCCGAATTCACTCGTACCCTACTCGACTCAACTCAGTTAACGCGGTAAAACTTGTATTGACGTATTTTGAGCTGGGTTTGAGTTTAAACCTGTACACTATTCTTTGAATTGGATTTGGTTTGTATCAAGCTATGCTGCCCAACCCATGAATACCCGCCCACACTTATTCCATCGCTTTTCTTTTGCTTCACTGAACAACAGATTGTAAAATTCCGAAAGCTTAGGTACTAATATCATTGTTTACAGGGATGGCAGTGGTGATGGTGATGGTGATCACCACCTCCTTCCTCGTACTGATCATGGTGATGATCTGGAAGGTAAACTTGCTGCTAGTCGTCTCCTTCGTGGCCACCATCGGTACAACGGAGCTAGCGTACTTAACCTCAGTCCTTTACAAGTTCCCACAAGGAGGCTACCTTCCGTTGACTTTCGCCGGCGTCTTGATGCTAATCATGTACACGTGGAGCGACGTCCAGAGGAGGAGACACCACTACGAGCTCCACCACCGGATCTCACCCGACGAGGACTCGATCGGCGCCGGAGCCACCACCCACCAGAGCTTGAGCAGGCTCCCAGGGATCGCCGTTTTCCACTCCGACGGCGATCCGGCGCCTCTCCACGGGATCCCGCCGGTTTTCAAGCACTACGTGGCCAACATCCCGGCCCTACACTCGGTCGTGGTCCTCGTCTCGATCAGGACCGTCCACGTGGCCAGGGTTCGGGTGGAGGAGAGGATGACGTTCAGCCGCGTGGGCCCCCCGGAGATGAGGATGTACCGGTGCGTGGCGAGGTATGGGTATGAGGACGGGAGGAGGAGGAGTGGGGAGAGTGGACACGTGGCGTTCGAGGAGATGCTGGTGAAGGTCCTGATGGAGTTCGTGAGAGCGAACGCGATGGGGCTCGAGTTGGTGGAAGAGATTGAGGTGATCCAGCGAGCTTGGGACGATGGGGTGGTCCACTTGATTGGGGAGTATGAGATGATTGCTGGGGAAGGATCCGGGTTTTGGAAGAGATTACTAGTTGATTGGGGTTACAGTCTTTTGGGAAAGATCGTGTGGCGGCGGAGCGGTCCGAGGGTGTTTGATCTGCCCTGTAGTAGGACAGTTAGAGTTGGGATGACTTATCAGCTCTAGTACTTGATCTTAATTAAAGAAACAAAGAACTTAAATTTACCTACCTTTATGTAAAGGGTGTCTATTTTCTTTGTTTGTTATGGTAAAAATGCTAGTTGTGTATGGTTTGGGTGGTTTAGGGGTTGTTTGGAAGTTGTGATTCTTCAAATTGATGTATTGGATCAATTAGTGTATTATCATTTGATGTATTGAATCAATTGATGTATTAGATAAATTAATACTTTGTTTGGAGGTTGAGATTGTGTTTTTGTTGTAAAGGCATAAAAGTTAATTTTGAGGGATTGTGAACAATCTCAACAAAAAGTAGAGATTCACAATCTCTCAATTTTGAGTGATTGTGGTGGGGCCTCCAAAAAGTGAATGCATGTATTCTAGTTCAATATAATCCAAAAAAACGACTTAATCTCACAAATACATGAATTAGCACAATACACCATTTGAAATCACAACTTCCAAACGACCCCTTAGTTTAGTTTAGTGGTCTTGTTGTGGGCTCCAGAATTGTTTGGGCTACTTGGAAATTAATCCACAATAATTTGGTCTGCAAGCCCAAGAAATGTTTGGACCTTCAGCACTGAAAAAAAGATGAACAAAGTCCAGGAGTGACCGCATGCCCAAGCCTACTCATACTGGTGTTTAGATGGCGGCTTTCTCTATTGTACTAATGTAATTATTATTATTAGCTTTTTATCACCATGTGAGTGAGTGGCGGCTTTCTTACTGACGAAATTATCAGAAATAAGAAAATCTGACAAAATTGTATATTGAAAAATAATTTAAGTAGATCAAAGATCTGATAAGTGGATTAGTAGATTCATCGTGGTTTGCACATGATTTAGCTACTTAAGTTGAATATATTATCAACATCAGACGCACAAAAATTAATATGGAAGTACTTATGCAGATGATTAGAGACTTAATTTGAATTTATTTATCAAAATTTTATTAAGATATGCTCAACAAAGAGATAGTATGGCCTATAATATATTGGTTGATTTTTTTTATTATCATAAATAGATCTAAATTTTTCTCATTCAAGTTTGGCACTATCCTTTGTTCTACATATCCCAATTGAAGTTGAAGTGAATACCCTTTGAAATGTATTCAGTTAGATCAAGACGATGAATCCAAGATTCATGTCCAATCGGATTGTCAGGTTTTCGTATGTTCAATCACTGACGTTTCATCTACGTAGTTATGAAGATGTGTAACATGGGTTGGTTCGATAACCGAGTTGCTCGTTATTTAGCTAGATCTGAATCCTCGGATTTCTGAAGAAAAAACATAAAATCTACAAATATGTATGAAGCCAACTTGCTACTTGCTGGTGCATGTTCTTTTCGTGTTGAGGAACACGTGTCGTGTAACCTGCTGCCCTTTTTCCCCCCTGTAGCGTAGTGGAGATATATAACCTCTGCTTTTTTTATAATCGTCGTACTACTAGTCTATGTAAAACGTGTTGAAGTTATTTGTATATTCATCGATAAAAGACAACAAACAAAAAGGAATGGTTCAATATTATTTATACGGTAACGACGAGAAAGGTTGTGGAAGACGACAAAGATGGAGTCGTTGAAGCTCCCTTGCCTTGACTTTTGTCTCACAATTTCCCCCCCACCTTACCTACCAGCGGCCCGTTAAGTGACAGAGTCGAGCCGTCGATCGAGATTCGAGATGGTTACTTACAAGTTACAAGGGAAATAGCTCAAAATATCTAGTCTGTACATCTCGACCGGCCTGTAAACTTTTCGGATTTCAAATTGTACGGATCCAAAACCCAACTCAAAGCTTTGTAATTTTCACCGTCAGCTGGGTGCCTTAATTTCGTAACATTACGCTTTTCTCTTTATCATCCTCATGTACGTGAATAATTCGTATTCATTCATGAGTTATTTAAATTTCTTTTTGAGAGGGTACAAATTGAACTTGTATTTTTAACGTAATGGTATGACTAATGGTTGTATCTATACCATTTTGTACAAATCATTTTACGGTATTAAATTTGTACATTTATATTTTGGTACAACTTCAAAATTCAAATTGTAGCATAATGTATAGTACAATTTGAACTTATATATTTAACGTTATAATACAACTTCGATTTGTTTAGTTAAAGTATTACAGCAGCTTACACCTCTCGAAATTTGCAAGAATCCTTGAAAGTCAAATTTTCACATAATCTAGAACGCGACTTTATTATTATGAGTATACTATAAATAACCTGCAGAAATCGATTTGGACCAATCTGAAGGCTGCGCTGTTCCTCTTTTTAGGTCCTAATTAACCGTCCTATCCTCAAAACCCAATCAATATATTATTATTATTATTATTATTATTATTATTATTATTATTATTATCTATTACATATCGATCTTCCTATATATTCTCACATGCATTGTATTGTTCCACATATTATTATAAAGATGAAGGGAGCAGCACATAAACTTGTTTCTTTACAATTCTTTATTTTTCTTTCTGGAATATTCTGTTTTATTCTTGTCTGGAGTTTATCTATAGTCTATACATACACCTCGATCTCCACCTACGTAAATATATAGTGCATCCACAAAAAAAAAAAAACATTGATGTATTTGTCCGAACATTTCCTGAGGGATGAAATTAATTCATCATTATAGAAGACGAAACCCCTTTTTATTCGATGGAATTTTTTCTCTTAATTTAGATTGTGTGCTCTATAAAATGAAGCGATAAATTGATAAAGTAAGACGTAATTCACTAATACGATATATATATATATATATATATATATCTTAGTAGTTAAATCATCTATGAGTAGAAAAAGGCTTAAATTCATTACTTAGGAAGAGAATACCAATTACAACAAAAGAGTTGGAAAGTTTATGCATATTGTTTTTTCCTAACTACCAATTGTAGGTCAAATAAACCGATTCAATACATCTTAATTAATAGATATATATAGTACTATATAATATAATTATATATAAATTATAAGAGGTCAAAACCTATACGACATAATAATCCAGTAATGGAGGTTATGCATTGCCATTATTATTATTATTGAAATAATTAAATCATCATTCCTACCCCAGAAAATACATTCTTTTCAGTTTGGGAGTGATCAATAGTCAACGCGGCAGTGGGTTTGACTTGACCATCAGGGCCAGGGGGCAGGCCGAAAGATCCGACGACTGATAATGCTCCTGAACCACCAAGGAGGATCAACCTCTCAATCTCCACCGTTGGTGATCTGCCTACCAACAAAGATGAGGGGATCTACTCATCATCAAGTATTAAAGAAATGGAAGAAGGGGTTGTTGAGTCTTTGGAGTGGGAAGAAAAGAAGAGGAAAATTATTATTAATATATGTAATTAAACCCATATCGCATTCAGCCAACAATACCCATTATACCAATATATTTGTTGGTTAGGAGGTCGGTCGAAAATAAGCGCCACATTAGTGTCTGGTGTGTGTGAAACCAGGGGATTCCAATTTCCCCTAATGACTTTGCTAGCTAGGGGTGAATGATTCATATATTGTTATGGTTGGAATATTGAGAATCAAGAAAGCCCATAGCTCTAGCTATAGGATGTAGTTTAAGGAGTTGGTAATTATTGGTAAGTGATACTATGGTAACTTCCAACTTAAGACACATAAGTCGGGGTCTCGATGGACCTGGAGGCGACGTTGAGGAGCTTTACCGGTAGTTTTAATTTTCAGAAGGTCGAAAATGATTAGAAAACTGTGCGGGAAATATATAGTTAGAGGTGGGGTGGGGTTCTACAAGATTTGGTGAACCAGATGTCGATATGATTCGAGGTTAGTTGAGTTATCTATCGTCAAGTGGAAGTCATTGAGATCTTTGTGTAATCTATATATACTTTTCATACTCCTATGTAGTCTGCAATCTTCTACCAGTATACTAGCTATTACCAATTCTAGATTAAATCAAGTAGTCATATACTTTCATTGAAAAGAATTAACAATTTCGGATTTCCACTTTTGATCTAAAAAAATCAACAAGTATCTTCTAGCCAGACGAGCCCTATCAGGCAAATCCAAAATGTAGTGGACCTTTTTATTCTTCTTCTTATTAATAATAATAATGGGAATTCCTACAATGCCTTGAAGTAAGTTAACTTGCTTTTTTTTACCTGCTATAGCAGGTTTCACAGGTTGCATTACGTAAAACACAATAGACATTACGGAACAATTACGTAACGTATGTGTATCTTACGTAACAGTTGTAAAATCTCATTACGGAAGCCTTATGTAATGGAGGGTTCTTCTACGTAATGAATGTTTACCTCGCGTTACGTAAAGTGATAAGTCATTACGGAAGTCTTACGTAATGCTTCTAATTTAACTGTTACGTAAGAAATAACTTTCATTACGAAAGCCTTACGTAATTGAGGCTTCTTTTACGTAATGAATATTAACCTTGCATTACGTAAAGTGTTAAGGCATTACGGAAGCCTTACGTAATAGATGTGTATTTTACGTAACATTTGTAACATGTCATTACGGAAGCCTTACGTAATTGAGGCTTCTTTTACGTAATGAATATTAACCTTGCATTACGTAAAGTGTTAAGGCATTACGGAAGCCTTACGTAATAGATGTGTATTTTACGTAACAGTTGTAACATGTCATTACGGAAGTCTTACGTAATTGAGGCTTCTTTTACGTAATGAATATTAACCTTGCGTTACGTAAAGTGTGAAGTCATTACGGAAGCCTTACGTAATTGAGGGTACTTTTACGTAATGAATATTAACCTTGTGTTACGTAAAGTGTGAAGTCATTACGGAAGCCTTACGTAACGCTTTTGATTTAACTGTTACGTAAGAAATAACTGTCATTACGGAAGCCTTACGTAATTGAGACTTCTTTTACGTAAAGAATATTAACCTTGTGTTACGCCAACATAACAGTTGTAAAATATTATTACGTAAATATACGTAGTGAAATTTTATTTTACATAATGAATATTAACATAGTAAAGTATTTAAATAATTACGAAAGTCTTATGCAATATTTTTTTAATAAAATATCATCCAAAATTATGAAAAGATCAAATAATAAAAATATATATATATATGCAATGATAAGATCAAGCTGGAGCACTTTGGCAATAAAAAAAAATCAAGCTAGAGCAGCTAACTTAAAAAAGAAAAGGAGCTGACAAGTTAAAAAAGAAAAGAAATAAAAAAGGTAGTGTGAAACGGGAAAGTAATAACAGGCCGGT